TGTGTCTGTGTCACGATGTTTTCAGAGATCAGACGTGTGCAGGTTTATCGCAGATGCGGCGAGAACGAGAATGAAAATTAGGCTACAATTCTTTGCGGGAATGAGCAGAGCAGGACTGCACAGTGCGGGACTGTGTCCTAACAACACATAAAAACAGATTTTATAATAAGGCAACTCGCATACAGAAACAGTCAAGTTAGAGATTAAAAATAAGATTAACGCGATTAAAAAACATAACGCGCTAAATATGACTGTAATTAATTAATTGCAATTAACGTGATAATTTGACACCCCTAGCTGAGAGTACACAGTAGTCTCATTTTGACCCTAAGAGCTGCTTTTACAATATCTAAGCATTAGGTCAAGACAAAGTATATGAATGTCTTGCCTTCTTCAGTTTAAAAAGTGCTCTGTCCAGGCATTGCTCTCTGTAAGTGTGGTAGTGGAAACCCCCTGAGCTGTTTGTGAGCAGAGGTTGTTGGTGGAATTCCCATAACTGCTCAGTGACACATTTTGACACCTTGGTGCACGGCGGCTGGGCTCAGAGGTGAATTCATTCCTTCTGCGGTCACTCGGTGCTGCCTCTGGACTCGAGAGCACAACAAACAGCACACATGAAAGAAGCTACACTATGTCAATACTATTATCAGCATATGACCTAATATTACATTAAAAAGTACAATTCGTATCTGGAATAAAACAGCCAGGCTACGAAAATAGGTGTTCTGAAAAATACTGCCATTTTAATATCTGTGCCCTGACTTGTAATTACTGCCATATTCCAAACTAACTCTCCATGGATGGTTTTTAATCTGGTGTTTATATTGAATTATGCAGGTGCCACCTCCAGAAAGTGAACCTTTAAAATAATATTCCTCAAGTATAAGTAAAAAGTATTGATCCGTGTATTTAGGGAAACTACTACTCCATAAAATAGGAGTACTGTCTGAACCAAACATCTGATTTAAAATATCAAGATGATGAAATCGGGCAGAAACAGGACTAATCTGCAATCACAAGGCAGCACTTACAACTCTTAAGGCAGAATTTTAAACAGAAACCCCCAAAACTAGGAAAACAATCTTACTGTTTCTTTCTTTTACTTGCAACAATTTCTTTTTCCCCTTTTCTGCCTGGTCCAAAATGGAAAATGCGGCATCACCAAACCACCACTGCTGCTGCATCCAAGTCTCCTAAAATAAAAAGTAACTCAACCCTCGTCTTTATACAGTCATTCTGCCAGACTGCTCCACCCTGCCAACCAGCACTTTGTGGGGATGTGATTAAAATCTGCTTTTGTTAGTTAATATGCCTTCATACAGTTAGTGACAGATTCGAGAACTTTTACACTAAAACAATGTTAACATCATTATAAGATTGTATACATTTTGCGCAGTTTTGTCCATTTCTTTTTTCATTCTGGTGATTCCTGGTTGGACACACGCAGCAGATATGACATGTGTACAGGTAATTCCAATTTATTTATTTATTTTACTTATTTTTAACAAGAACAGTGCATGGAAAGATGCCCTGCCCTAGATTTAGCTCCAGTCTACTTTCCATCTGCAGTCCTTGGGCTGGTACACAAGACAACAACAAAAGTCCATTTACATAAAAGCACCTCTAACAACAGCATTTCATCAATAGCAAACAATACAATTCACCATTAAACATTTAAAACCGTCAAAAGTAAGTAAGTGCCACAAATACCAAGTTTCAAATTCATTATTATCTTCTAAATATACTGAAAATCCAAATCATTGTTCTCAAGTTATCCTCAAGCTCTGTTACATAGCAACCACATTAACAAGGGCTAAAACTTGGACAATAGTTATGATTAGACAAATAAAAATCGACAACACCATTCATCAACCGATGACATAGGCAGAGGTATTCTTTTTCAGAACTCACCGCTACTTTTTTCCCACAAACTGACACTTAACGCATGTAGAACTATGCTAAATATTCACCATAGGTACTATCCCTCCAAACGAAGTAATAGTTTAGAAACATGAGAAAAGAGAGAAATCTAATCAAATGCAGTTTAAATGTCCTATATTACATGAAATTGACACTTCTGAGCCTAAAATCATGTTAGAACACTGTTACCTCCTCAAAAACAGACCTGGACACAACAGACACATCTCTGAGTAAGCCTTCATTATTACAGTCTACATCTGCAAAGCTCAAAATGCTCCGTTACACTTTGTGATGTCATTGAGTCATATTTTTCAAGTTAAAATCTACCTTTTACCTTTAGTGCCAGAGGTGGGGACTTGAAAGTCGTGACTTGGACTTAAGTCAGACTTGAGTCACTAATATTAGGACTTGAGACTTGACTTGATAAAATGCACTAAGACTTGGGACTCGACTTGGACTTGAAGGTCAGTGACTTGGAAGTTGACGCAGACTTGAGGCCTGTGAGAGAAGACTTGAGAAGCACTTTTAAATCTGAATTCTTTCTATTCTCACCATCATGATTCACACTAAGATCTTGTCAAGACATTTAAAAAGGAAAAAATAACTACATTTGCATTTCTACAACTCTTACATACTTTATAAAAACTCATATGTAAATATATTATGATTTTTTTTTTGTACAATTTATCTTAAAGGTCAAAAATGCAAAAATCTAAGCTTTGGTTTAAAGATTTGAAATGACTTGAAGCTCAAGGCAGACGACTTGGACTTGACTTGGACTTATGGGCCAGTGACTCGAGACTCGACTTGGACTTGCCTGTATTTGACTTGGGACTTGACTCGGACTTGAGGTCAAAGACTTGAGACTTACTTGAGACTTGCACAATAATGACTTGGTCCCACCTTTGCTTAGTGCATCGGAGTTTGGCAATTCCAGGGCTGAAATTATCCAGATTAGTTTCAAAGTGTATTACCACATGACATCACAAGGTGGAATGGAGTGTTTTCAGTTTGAGAGAAGAGCGTTAACCTTCAAATATGCAGGATTTGTGTGTTAAACATGTGTCAAACAAAGCACAACTCCAGGTATGTGTTTGATGAGGAAACAACTTTATAACATAGATGAGAAAACCGTGTAATATGAGCTCTTTAAATGAGAGCTTGTGTCTTCTCCAGCTCCGGCCTCACTGCCTCTGTACATCACTGTTCACACTGTGGGTGGGTGGAGATGGTAAACAACATCCAGAGAAACCATGCCTTTGACACACTGGAGTGGCTCCCTCCCCATGAAGCCCCTAGTTGTCTTTCCAAACGAACCGCAAAAGTCGCTAACGTCACACTAAATATATCATGCTATTAAAACTGTCAGCTATTTGACAACTTTGCAGGTCTGGAGTAAGCAGTGCTGACTTAGCATGTGGCTGCATTATAATTGTGTTAGAGTAGGATATGTAGAGGAGGCTAAAGGAAGAAGTCAATCATAATGTTCAAATTTCAAACTCAAAATTGCCAGTATGGATTTCAATGCAAGATTAATAATAACAATTTTGTTTTTTAAATCACAGAATTATAAACACAAATAACTGTGATTTATATTAAATTACCATGTGAGCTTGTATTAGGTTCAAAATGTGTCCAAAATATTGTATTTTAATCAAAACTTGTTCAGTTCTGATCTTAGTTTTAGTACTTTTTTTGTATAGCTATCAGTTTTTGATAAGTCTAATTGGAGTATCAACAAATAAGTTTGACCTGAACTTGACAAGGCAGGTTATCAGAAATACAAGTCAACTTAAATGTTACTTTTCTACTCAAAGTAATTGCCCCTGGTAGGATTTAAAAAACTGTCTGAATCTGCAATGAAATCTGAGTGTTGAATCTCGATTTATATAGTCAAATGCACGACTCTTAGCCAGGCTGGCGTCACCTAGTGCCTCCACTCAATTTCATTTCTCTCCAGCGACTAGCTCAGGAATCAGAATACACTAGACTATTTGCAAAAACCCCAGAAGTGTGAGTTCGGGCACCAGCCAATCAGCAAAGAGCCAAACATTCTGTGTTGGCAATGATTCCTGAGATTGAGGATTTAAAGCCAGAACAAAGAGAATGTTTGGTGAATTTGATCAAGGGGAAAGACGTTATTGTCCTTCTTCCTAGAGGATTTGAGAAAAGATTAATATACCAGTTAGTCCCGTTAGTGGCGCATTACATACATCACGACCAAATAACAGTGATTGGTTACATTTTTTAAAATGTACCCGCCTACAATCGCGTGAACGAAACCTAATGCTGCGAGGTCAGACGGTTTCTACGAAGTGAAACCGGCTGATGAATCACGCTACAGTAAGACGAGTTTTGACCTTAAAAGCTGCATATACAATATATGGGACAAGACCAATTTTGCTAAAATACATGTGGAAAAATAAATCACAGAGTCTTGGCTTTAAGTATTGTATTTTTATCAATACCTGTTCAGTTCTGATCTTAGATTTAGTATTGATTTGTGTATAGCTATCAGTTTTTGATAAGTCTAATACGCATGGCATTGGCTTAGCATGTTTTGTTTCATATCAAAAAAATAAGTTTTACCTGAACTTGACAAGGCAGATTATCAGAAATACAAGTCAACTTAAATGTTACTTTTCTACTCAAAGTAATTGCCCCTGATAGGATTTTTTTTTAAACTGTCTGGATCTGCAATGAAATCTGAGTGTTGAATCTCGATTTATTCAGCCAAAAGCTCGACTCTTGGGGTAGTAACAAAATCTAAACAAAGATTTACTCTATAAATTGGGCTCAGAACTACAAATTTTTCTATAAAAGTAATAAGCATTAATGAGGCCAAACATCAAAACAGCAGCTCAAGATAACTTGGTTAAAAGTGACTGATTTGACAGACTTTTATCATGATACAACATTTTTATTTAGACTATGCAACTTAACCCTATGTTATGTTGATTTCTTAGTGGAACTCCTTTAATTACAGAACTATGACCAAATGAATGCATGTATAATATAACCCACAAATACATATCATTTGTTACTTGTTACTTCTCCAGAGCACATAACGAATGCCTTACCATGACTTCAGTCGGGGATTCCTACATAGTGGTCACTGCTGCTTGTGGGCTGACTTCTCCCTTCTTCCTCCATGAGCTAAACATAGTCCGAAAGTGTAAAAAAAAAAAAAAAAAAGTAGAGTCCTTTGCAGAGTTTTTCTTGCCTCTTGCGGACTTTCGCGTTCCTGGTCCGTTTTCCCCCTGACTGAATGCACACAATCCTGCATGCAAACTCCCAACAATCCCTCCCAGCCCAGCCCCTCCTCTCCCCCTCCTCCTCCTCCTCCTCCTCTTCTTCTCCTCCCCTCACTACGGCCCAAACAAGAGCACCACAGTCAGTCTAGCTGCAGTTCGCACTCTCAAACTTTCCATTTTTCCCCCAGAGTCGAATAAATGAATAGACAATAAAAAGTTCTTACCACATCCATGGGGAATAGCAGCGCCAGGCTTCCTCCGCTTGTGGGCTATTGCTTCTTGTTGTAAATTCTTTAAAGTCTTGTATTCTGAGCCTAAAAAATGAGCTGTAAGATTCATTCGTGTGGGTTTTAGTCAGATTAGACAAAAATATATAGTTGTATAGGATAAATACAGTAAAATCCCTGGTGCAAAAAGCTTAGACTATATCAGTGACTGAATAGACAATCAAGTATTTAGCACATATAGGGAGTTTAGCAGAGTCCAGGGCCTTGTCTGTTGCGGGCTTCTTATTTCAAATTCATTGAAATGGTCTTGTCTTCTATATCTGAAAAAGAGTAACAAGATCATTCACATATTGCACTGTTTATGTGGGTTTTGAATAGTTTAAAATGTTTGATGCAGATTGTTAACTCAATTCTGTCAACTGCATCAGTGATTTCCAAGAGGCTCCATCCAAAGAGAACTCAAGAGATTGGATAGATGCATAGATCAAGTCAATTACAGACTTATAGTTTAATGCCATAGCCTCCTGTGTAGAACATTCCAGGGGCAACACAGGGGGGTGTTGATTATATGATTATATAAAAGTAGCCTGTATTTCCAGCATTTTATAAACAAATAATCAAATACGACTTTGCCAAAACCAGCCAAATGCAGTCATGTTGTCTGTCTGTGTCTGTCTTGAACAGTTCATGACTAGTAGCCTATCCATGCATGTCCAATCAATTATACTGTGGGCTCGTAAAGCCCACATGCCTACAGCAACAGCATTTCTATTTTATTTTAACAATTGTGCATACTGTCAGAAAACTCAATACTGCACAACTGTCCAAAAATCAGAACAGTCAGTTAACCTACTGGGCATGTGGACATCTTACACAGACACACGTAGATGGATTAAAAGAAGAGATTGTCACTGTTCCTGTATGTTGATTTTGTTGGTTTTATACTTGAGTAGAAATGTACCTTTAAAGTTTACAGACCATTGATTCATTATAAAGCCTACGCGCACTGACGGCGAAATTTTGGACGTACGCCGAAGTGCCTGGTTCCATGCGTATTTCGCCCTACGTAAGCGTAAAAACTGCAACTTTTGAACGCGTGTTTTTTAGAAAGCATGGGAATCGCTCGAGTAGGTACGTTTATTGGCTAAAATAATTTCTGATTCGGTTTAAAGGTGCATTGTGTAACTTTGGAGATGTTATTCCTTTGTCTTGAATGTTCCATAGTCTTGTATTAAACATTTCTATCTTGATGGAGATCAAACCCGACCAAGTTAAAGCTCGTATCAGTGGAGAGGCGATTCGACTCACAGTCAGAATTGATATTTACCTCTGTATTTTTGAGCTATATAACCACTTGTATGTGAATTAAGGTAAAGGTAGCTGTTTAATTTCATACTGTGGGACATTCCACTGTATAGTAGTATCCATAGAAACAGGCAGGTGACTGCCTCTCAACCATAAAGTCACATAGGGCCGTTGAGAATTGAGCATTGACTGAAGAAGTGAACGTGCCCTTTCATTATAGCAGTATCACTTTTATGTGGGATGATAGATAAATTCATTATAAGGTGGACACGTGCCACCCTGCAACTAAGATATTCTTTACTTTGAGTTTTCCTTGCTTTTGAGTTTTAATAGAGCAGGGAAAATTGAGACGCTAAATTTTTTTCTTCATCCACAACAAGTAAATTTGCCTGTGCAGGGGCTTCCAATGAACCACTGGGTATCAAACTGTGGTACGCCTGCTCCCTCTGGTGGTAAAAAGAGAGCACTGCGGTTTTGGTGTCCTGATTTTGAGTCTGCACATTTTTGCTTTGTGTAATATGTAAATAGTTATATTATAGACCTGATTTAGCCATATATTTAGACCTGGAGCAGTCTAGTTATTGACTTGGTTTAGATCTGGAGGTTCCTGAAGAAGGATTTAGATTCTTTTTGTTTGTCTGAGTAGTTAATTTTACAAGACAGATATGGCAAACTCCATGGCAAACTCTTGCATAATACAAATATTAAAATAACTTCCCTTCTGTTATTTTGGGCTAATAAACATACTGTGGCACATGTCATGGGAATATTTGTGTTCTAATGGCAAAATGCATTTTAAAAGAGATTGGTAAATTTTGTGAGATGCATTCATAAAGTTAACCATTTTTCTTACTGTAGTTTCCAGTTCCTGACATTTGAACCAGGGTTTGTCATAAACATTTTAAGTTATGCACTACAGATGCTTCCAGCCTGCTGCTCTGTGGATATGTAATGCATTATCAGACCACCCGAGGGCGCCAAAGAACAGTCTTTTAAAAGTGCTCTAAAACTGTGTAGCACTTCTAGATTCTTGTGTTTAAAGGGTACAAAGTACAAAGTTTAAAATAATAAATCAATTAAAACACACCAATAATGTTTCGCCTGTAATTTATTTGCCCACACCAAAAATTTCAATTTCATCTTTTGCTTTACTTTCTCACACAAACAAAGGGTAAGCGTTTGTAGCAATCTACGTCATCCCAGCACTTTTTAACTGTTCATATAAAAAAAACAAAAAAACATGATTATTTGGCCACAGATCTTACTTTTACAAATTCTTATTTACCTGTGAAGTTGACGATCGCACAGTCTTGTTTCCCATTGTAGTTATTGGGTTCTCCCTTGCACCAGTTGTTAAAGTCCACATTGTTACCATTTATCCAGAGCCACTTTTTCTCCTACAATAAAAAGCATATGTTTAGTATATGAACAATTGTACTTTGCTATGAAATATCTGAAAGGTAAATACACAAATGTTGAACCCCATCATTTGTATGTACTAGACCCAAGAACTGTATTACAACAAAAATCTGCAACAACATCAATTTTAACTGCCCAGATCTGTATGAAATGTTATTAGCCTGCAGAATGTTATAATGCCATTTGAATGCAGCTATACAATGTGCTGCTCTATACTGCAGTTTGTGTAATGTACCATTTGAGCATCAGAGATGCCGATCCATGCTCTTTTTCCTTCGGCCACTTTTTGTACCACTTCCTCCTCGGAATAGTTGCCAGGGTCCCTCCCATCTTCAGACACTGTTCCTAAAGTTGTGCAGCCGAGAGTGGAAATTAGAACAGTTGTAGTCTACCATGAAACAGACAAAAGACTTCACCTCTACCTGAGCATCGGACCATTTTGCAGGAGTCTTAACAAATATGAAGAACCGGTCATTATAAGGAGTCCACTCCAGCTGACCCGCCTCTGCTGGCAAAGTTAAAGGTGGCATTTTGAATAGAGTTACAGTAACTTAATACTTTGAATCAACTAATTTGTTGATGCTTGGATTTTTGTTTGTGCTTGTCTTATAAGTTTGGCAGTTTGATCCTAGAGTGAAAAGTGCATGCTGTTCTGTCCTAGACAAAGTAAAACAAAGGCCAGTGGTTTTGAGACTTGCACAGCATTTTGTGAAGTTACTTATTGTGCAGGAGAGAACCTCATATGTTCTTGCCTGCCTTGAATTGTGTTGTTTTTTTTTACATGCACACCAAAAAGTTGCATATTATGAATAGAAATATATCTACAGATGAAATAGTGCAATAAAAACACCAGGAGCATATAGATTAGGTTAATACGAAGATTTTAAAACCAACAAAACAAAACAAAAAAAGTCAATTGTAAAGTCAATTGCAGTCTGCAAACACCTCTATTTGGAATGCAGCTACCATGTTAGCTATGGCCATTTATATATAAAGACTATGGCAAAATTGTGACTCAAAGGTTATAGACTGAAGGATAAGTGTGTGTTTCCTTGTGCAGATGTCCTTGTAAACCCACCTGCGCAGGCCAAAACAGCACACACAAGAAACAACAGCAGCAGCTTCATGGTGATTCTTCTGGAGACTTTGACCTGTCAAAAAACAAACTGCATAAACTCGAGTAACATTACATGAAGTGAATGTAACTTTAATGTAATCTTACCTGAGGTGCCCAAAACCTTCTGCTTTTCTCCTTAGCACTTGCTGTCAGCTGGCACTCGATGTGAGTTGTAACTTGGGCTTGCTGAAAGTTGCTTTTAAAGGTTTCCAAACTGTCAACACTTCAGATCTGAATGTTTGCAAAGAACTTGCCCTGAAGGTGTGATGAAAATTTGAGTATTCCAAGATACACTGTAAGAAGTGTTAAAAGCCACGCTATTGTTTGTCTAATCCTATAGGCTATGTGTGCCTCTGTGTTCACCATTTACATGTTTGTTGTTTTATTCCACGTTTTTTGTTTGATCTTGAAAATCTCTCAGCTTTCGGCAAAATTTACCATTTTGAAGTCAAAACAGCTGACCTGCGTGATTGTGTAGATTCGATGAGAAACGTTTTAGGGGGATATTAACAGATACTTTCTAATAAGAGGAGACAGAGCACTTGAGAAATTGTCTATTGAAATCTGTAGAGGGATTATTAGAATTTTCAGTCCCGCTCCCGCACTGTGCAGTCCTGCTCCCACCCGCTCCCGCAAAGAATTGTAATTTTCAGTCCCGCTCCCACCCGCATCTGTGAATTTTTTTTTTTTTTTTGTGGCACGGTTAAATCCTGACTAAATCCTGTTTTAGTCCTGGTTTTAGACCTGTTTTTAGACCTGGTTTAGTCCTGGTTTTAGACCTATTTTTAGACCTAGTTTTGTCCTGGTTTAGTTGCGGTTTAGTGGTGCAGCCCGCGAGACATACGGGACTTGGAGGACTGTCTGCGCGGCGTATGGGAAGGGGGACTGTGTGCGGTGTATTGGACGGGGGGGACCGTTTACGTGGCGTACCGGACTTGGGGGACTGTCTGCGTGGCATATGGAATGGGGGGGACTGTCCACATGAAATACCGGATGGAGGACTCTCCGCGTGGTGTACGGAAGGGCGACCGTCTGCTGCTTAAAATGTTTTTATGAATGCCAAATAAAATATCCAGCACAAATTATGCATGATATTCTTACATTCATCATTTGTATATTTAACTTTACTCTCATATTTTGTTTGTGGGACTGCAGTTTATCAACCCACCCACCCCTCCCGCGTTGTGTAGTCTCTCTCCCTGTGTCATGCGCCACACTTTTTTGCGTCGGATCCCACGGGAGGACTGCGGGGCTCTAAATCAGAATACGTCATTTCACACTCTACTGTGCATGTGTCCTGCAGAAAAGTCTCTGTCCTGTCTTGTAGCATGTCAGAGTCTGGGTGGATTTCAGCAGATTTCAGGCTCTCCCGGGGGGCTAGATTAGGTGTACGGCTCAGATGTCCGGCTACTCAGGTTTGAAACATTGTGCGCACTGTCAAAACAAATCGTAACAAAAGTGGCTGTTAAAGCTTTATTTTTATACAACGCAGACAACTTTTCAAGCCATTATAATCACATTTTTGTTGTAATTTCAACCATATGGTTTTCATGGCCGTCAGTCCACACACACATACACACACCAGAGGCCACGTCGCCCCTCACACACCCTTCTCACCTTTTCTCGTGTGGGCTTTTCGGAAGAATTCAGTGCGTGTCCTAGGAAAAAAGCACAAGAGATGGAAGGATCCGAGTACAGGCCACTTTATTGTTAGCATTAGTAGGTCACAGAGATTCAAGTTGATTACCAAGTACAACTGTCAACCCGGGACGACGCCTCTGACAAAACCCAGAAAGTGAGGTAGCTTTATACTAGCCGTCTGACAGAACATTAACCTGCTGATTTAGCATATACAGCAAGAAAATTTACAATAATGCTGACCCGGTACACTTTATCATGGGTGGGTACATGCCACGGGGTCCACAGTTTTCTGCTTTGTAGCATTTCAAAGTACAGAATAACATGTCTCTTTTATAGAATCATAGATAGACAGCATGTTTTGTTCCCTGTTGTCGTTCCAATGTACAAAACATTGAGTGAATCAACACAGAATAATTCTCACACATGCCTGACCCATTTTCATGCCTGTTGATCATCCTGACCTGTACTCAAATGCTAATGTAAAGCCATTTTCCATTTGGCCTTCTGCGCTCAGAAGACCAAATGGCAAGACAGATCTAAATGCAGACCGTTCTTGAGGAAGGGCTTGGACCTCAGACAGTATTTAAGTGTTATTACCCTATTGCTCTGGCTCACTGCTGGCAGAAACTTTGTCAGTAGTGGGACCATTTGTTACCGGTGCAAACGTAATAAACCAACATAGACAGCCTGCTTGTATATTTTGGTATTATTTTACAGATAATTTCAATGACAAGGATCTGAACAGCTTCTTCCGAATATGGAGAAGATCACAAGAAGTGCTTTGAGTTATTTAACAAGTGTTAATTTGATGTGCGATTTTTATTTGGTCCTTTGACTTAAGATTTTTTTGTTTTTGTTTTGGTGAAGATTTGTACTGGGGGAAAAACACATTTGCTACATGAAAATTAGAGCCCCAGTTTAAAAGCATTAAATATAATTTCCTAAACCTGAGGGTTTTTACTTGCTATCAAGACTCTTAACTCTTGTGCCTTGCTTATCTATTTGTGCATCTGAATGTACATTTATTGTGATAAATTTGGCACAAATGTATGTTCCTATAGTTTTTCAGAAAGTTTTGTTGTGTTCTGAACCATTTGGCCGACATGAGAAGGTTTGTATACACTGGATATGTTATGGAAATTTGTGCATTAGTCAGTCACACATACAAGAGTCAGGATAAAAATATACATCTATTATTATTGTAATTAATTATTGCGTAGATTCCATACTGTATGTTTTTATAGTAATGTATGAAATCAATATATCAATGGAAAAGGACCTCTTCGGGGGGGATAAAAGTATGTGCAAAAAATTTTAATCTTTGACAATTTTATGGAGGTTTAAAATCGAAATACACAATTTGTACATAAGACTCCCAACTCCCAGAGTAACGTTTTTCCTTTTTTTTTTTTTTTTCAAAATTGGCTTTACTCAAAAACAAAAAATGCCCCAAAGTCACAAGAAGAAGTGTCTGAATTATTTACTTTCCCAGAACAGATGAATAAAAATAAATACTGTAACTCCTCCTGTTTTAACTGAAACAACATTTGACTTTTCAAATGTTCAAACTTAAACACAAGAATGGGACAGGGCCTCAAACTATTTACTTTGGTTGATTGAATTACTAATTTTAAAAGTTTCATAAACATAAATGCTTCAGTTCCCCAACATCATGGGACTAATGCCCAAGTTGCTATTCTCTCAAAGCAAGAAGGTACAGCAGCTGAAATCTGACTGCTAGTATCTGCTATTTTGTCCTTTCAGTCATTACTCAAAGCTCATGACAACTGTTAACAACACACAGTTAAACAATACAGTGACTGCATTACCACAGCCTCTAGTGATGTTTGTACTCAAATATCTGTGGGACTCATTCGAAAAACTTGCTTTCAGGGTCACTGTTTCAAACAAGGAGGGAATCATAAGAGGCTAACTTTTGGATATTTCATCCTCACATTCTAGAGTCTGAAAATTGCCAATAACCACATCGTAATCATTCTAGTTTTATTTATACTCATTATACTCACATTTTTGTGTTGTGTATTTTTTATTTGGACTTGCACTAAACACCTGGTACAGTGTTCACCATATTCTTGTCTCTGTGGAGATGTTATTGTTTTGCCTGGGATGTTCCACTGGATGACTTTAAAACTTTCATGTAAACTTATCATGTAAACTTGTATTCAATTACAGGTGTTTTATTGCTCAAAACCTTGAACAAAATATACATTGTGATTGTGAGCAGAGTTGCCTCATCATAGACATGTCCCAGTGGTGTCACCTGCTTGTCTCTGAGGAGATATTCAGTTTAACACAAGATTCAAGATTCACACGAGTGTGAAATTTGTCTTGGGTTATTCACTGATGCTGCCATCATTGCTGTGCAACACCACACTGTGGAACATCTCAGCAACCCCTCCATGGAGAGGAGCAGATGAAGGACACTTCTCCCAGAAAGGGAACATCTTTAAGTAGTTATTCATCTTAATTTAAAATATGATCAAACGGAGCCATGTTTGAATGCTTGAGCGTTTTAATCACATTTGACAGAAAAGAAAAGTGAAGTTAAAGCAACTTTCAGATCCATTCCTTCTGCTCTTGAGTCACATGACCTCAGAGCAGACCACCTCTAACATCGGTCTTCATTTTATGTTTTTTCTTTGGATATATATTGCATGAAAAAGTGAAAAGTATGATTGTTAATGTGAACTCAGTAGTTCATAGCTACTTTTTTTCACAGATGTAAGGGAAGCTTTGTTTGCACTTCTGGTCGTCCCAGCACTTGGCTCCTGTAAATGGTAAAGTTGTAAGTCATAATAATCACCAAAAGATTTAAAACCTGATCGATTAAGAATATTTACTTGTCCAGTTGATAATAGCGCAGTCCTGTCTTCCATGGTAGTTGTTGGGTTCTCCACGGCACCAGTTTGCATAGACCAGGCGTTCACCATTTATCCAGAACCAAAACCTATCCTAAAAATAGAAAATACATAAGGGTTAGGGGTTAGTAATGAATGAAGAAGGAAATAATTGTTTCACTTTGATTTCAAAGTTCCACTATGTAGCTTTTCTGGTGGAGAGTGTGATACTGATTTGCCTGGAACATAAAACGTATCTCCATGCAAGTCTCAAGTTACAGATCTGATCTGTGGAGAGGTGACCCTGCTCACAGAAAAACACATGGATGGACTGTATATTTTGGCTATTTTGGCTACAAACAAAAACACCTGTAATTAAAGACATGCACAGTTTAAAAACATACTGTGAAACACTCGTACAACAGAAAAGTTCCATAGTCAACCTTTAACCAAGAAAGTTTTGAGGTTGCTATTACTAACATATTGTGCATCAGAGAATCCAATCCAAGCCGGGTCTCCCTGGGCAAGTCGTTTCAGAAAAGAGTTCACAACACTGTTGTGAACTGTGGCGAGAGTTCCACCAAGTTGCAGGCAGTGGTTCTGAGTAAGAAAGCAGTAAATGAGATTATTAAAATGCACACAATAAAATCATGCACATGAAACTGACTTTACCTGAGCATAAGCCCAAGGCCGTCGATAGGGCAGATATATGTAGTTACGCCCCCTGTAGTTGTACCACACTCCAGGCCTTAGAGATCCAATTCTGTCGCATTTATGTCCTGAGCATTAAAAAGCAATTCATTTAATAATGGTTATGTAACAGACCAAAATATATAAAGAAAATGATGCTTACCCCTTGACTCGGCATTCTTTTCTTGAGCCAGAGAGTTGTCTACAGTTGAAACACCAAATCATAAAAGTTTTATTGACAAGACAGATATTGGGGTGTGTGAAGAGTAAGAGAGACATTCATTCATAGAGTCTAGCAGGTGTTCTTTGACCAAAGCCCTAAAGGCCAAAGTGCAGGTCATTTTAAATGTATATTATGCTTTTGTCTGCTTTGTAGCTATAATCTATGACATCTGTGAATCAAGATATTATATTGGGGCTGTTCTAAATCACGTATTTGTTCTAAAACAAACTCATGAAAGGAAACAAGTCCACTGACATCTGATTGAAAACTGGAGGAGGAAAAGGAGAAAACCAAGCTAACATGGTTGCAAGCTCTTCTTGAAGTTGTGTGTTTATCCAGAAACTGACCTTCACTCATTTCAGCGTCATCGATATCGTCTGATTTCATCTCATCTGTAAAATCAACATGTTAAATTTTGTTATTGTTTTTTTCGATGATTTCTGTATTTGTTGTTTTATGATGGCTGCTCACTCACCCGAGCTGTTCAGTTGGTCTTCCTCTGCAAGTGAGTCCTCAGGCAGTTGTGGCTCAAACTCAGGTTCATCTTGAATAAAACATTTTTAAAGGAGTATTATTCTTCTGTGGGGTATTAACTGCTAACACATAACATATTTGGATTATCATGTTACCTTATTGTTTTAAAATATGTTATATTCACCAAAATCTATGTTTTTGACACTCTGAGTAACCCCTCCCTTTCCTCTGTGTGCTTAGTCACTACTAACACTACATTACAGTCAGCATGCATTCTGTTAAAGAAACTACTGCACATCAGGTTTGTGAAGTTGTAGTGTTTTGTGTCAGACCTTTGTATATTTATTGAAAATTGCTGTGCAGGAGCATGGGTGATGTCAGCTTGTGGCCTGAGCACTGACTAGAGTCGTACAACTAACCATAAGGAGGGTTCGATTAGGGCCCAGGGGCGATCATTAGATCAAACATGTCGTCTAAATCCTCTTCAGGCATGTTTTTGATCAGGAAACAATGTTTTAACGTCAAAAGCTCCCAAAAGTCGATTTGCATAATACCCCCAATGAGGACTAAATTTGCAAAGGTCCAGTTAGGATTATTTGACCTTCTGTGTTGATTATACTTTAGAATTGTAAGTACAGACCTCTACTTATTTCATACCTTGACAGTTTCAGGTGCGCTGTTGTGTCTGGTCAGCTGATTTAAACCATCTCCAGTCGTACAGACTGTAAATCAGGATGAGAGGACATACCAACTTTCTCACATGTGGGATACAGTTCAGAGGAAGTGGGACCTTAGGGGCACTGTCGTCCTACTGCTCCGAGGAGAAAAACTGCGCTAAAATCAGTTTAAATCAACTGACCAGACATGACACAGCAACCTCACCTGACACTTCTGAGGAAGGTGGCAGATTGCAGCTGAAACTGTCAAGGTATGAAATACATAGAGGTCTGTACATAAGAATCTAAAGTATATATCGGCAAAAGCCTCCACTTTTTAATGATGACTTGCTCTTCAACTTGGTCTGAAACTTAGGATCTTCTGAATAATATAATATAATAATCTGCAAAATATATATTTTTTAAAATGTCATTGTGCCATCTACAATGCAACAATTCGAAATTGACAATTATATTATTGTTAATCATGATCAGCACTACACAGATTCTAAAACACATGCCAGAAGATGTACTAAAGCAACAAAGCAAAATGGCCAAATAGAACGAGCAAATTGTATTTTTTATCAATAATACACAAACAATGAATCAGCATATTTTGCCCTTATCTGGTCATGTACAATAAAAATAATCCACTGACCATTTGACAACTAAAATTCTTGTTAGTGTTAGTATTAATTCTGTGGAGCCATTCCTGCTTTTAGTCAGATGCTTGTTTCTTTGCTGGTGTCCTCCATGCTTGGAATTTTTATTCCTTTCCATTTCATTCCAAACAGTTGTACACTTACAGCATATAATTTAAAAACTCACCTTGTCCATGGGCCACTGTGGCACATAAGAGGAGAAACACCACCAGCAGTTTCATGGTGAAGTTGAAGCAGCAGAAGTCTGACGACGAAACCCTTAAATAAAATAATATAATAACATAATATATTATAATATGTTTTGTATTAGAAAACCATAAATATGACCAACCTTCACTTTCTTGTCCGTGGTACTGACTTGGACTAAACTCTCATCTTATATATCCTAGCCCTTCAGTGCAACTGATATCACAAGTTTATTCTTGTTATTTGACATGTAGATTCAATTTCATTACAATATCGGACTAATATTTGATTTAATACGCTCCATGGAGTGATACAGATCAAGTCAACTTATTTAGAAGCAGTTGGGTTTTCTCTGTTTGTGTATTACTTAGGATAAATAATAAAATTGTCAAGAGAACATTATTAAATTCTTGGTCCAGTCTCACCTCACTTGTGAATCAGTATATAATGTGAGAGACTTCTGTCCCTGCAGTGTGCATTTTTAGCCTTCTGGTCTTCAAGAACGGTTTTAAACAAAAACATTTATATTCCTGTTTTTACTATTAAATTGGTCAAATGGACACCTGGGACATTTCTTGTATAAAACTGGGACAAATTACAGATTAGGATAAATCTGCTGGGGCAGAGGACACAGGGCTCAAGACTGGAACTGTCTCAGATAAATAGGCCCATCTGGTCATCGTAGCATTACCTGTAACTTGTGCGTGCTTTTCTGATGGAGGGTCTGTCCTCTCGAGCAGAGGTCTTCAACGGGGGTCATGGAGTTACTGCAGGGGGTCGTGAAATCTTTGGTTGATTAGACTTTTTTTTATATATACATATATATGTATATATAAAAAAGTATATATATATATATATATATATATATCTTCAGTTTTGAAGGATGAGGATGAACTGTTTTTCAGTGGATTCTGTCTGTGTGCTCCTTCATCACATCTGTCTCTCTCTCTTCATTCCCTCGTCTGTTGCTCCCTGTCAAACTGCGAACATGTTGGCCTGGATTATGTCATTTCTTCCCAGGCTCGCATTAACCAGACTATGGAGTCTGCAGCCAGCCTCCTCTCTACCGACGGAGGGGGGGGGGGGGGTTCCTTAATTCAGACCTGAATCAGCTTTGGTCAGAGGCTTATTTCTGCCATGGAACGACTTGAGGCTTAAACTGGAGATGGAGCTATTTTCAGCTCAGGATTTCAGGATAAGCCTGAACTTGTTAAGCGACTTCAGTGAAATATCCCCCCAGTATTGAATGTACAATAACAGAGCAGTTATGTTTATACAGGACACAAGGCCCAGTTTGATATATACATATATATATAGAACACAATTGTATGCCATTTATATTGTAGGGGGGTCCCTAGCCTGAAAAACATTGAAGATGTAAATAGTACAAAAACGACCACACAACTCACACAGTGTTTTATTTATTCAACAACAGTGCACAGAAAACATTTATCTCAGAGAGAAATGATGCTCTTTGCCAGATTTAGCTACAAGCTACTTTCCATCTGCAGTCCTTGGGGGGTTACAAAATACATTATTTACATGATTACATTAGACCAACTCTAACAACATTTGATCAGTCTCCTTAAGATAACCACTATCCAAATCCTTATTAAACATTTAAAACATTCCAAAGTAATTCATTCCAATTACCATAAATACAAGATTTCAACTTCTTCATTATCTTCTAAAAATACTTTCATTTGTTTCATTGTTATCATTCCCCTCTGAAATGTGCACTTGCCAAATTCATCTGTAGTATTATCCTCTAAAATTCAATTCATCAACAACATCACCATCAAGTGTCATGTTTAGAGCAGAAGTACGACCCGAAACACAAGACTGCATTTCCAAAATTGTTTAATAAAACAAAGAATGACCAAACACAAAAATGCAAACAGATGTGAAAGTGATAATGACAAAATTAACCAACAAAGGAGAACAGAGGATATATATGCACACAAATGAATGAGACACAGGTGAGACACATGAGGGCGGCGCAAACAACCTGGACAACAGAAAGTAAAACTCAAAGCACACATGGCTAGAGAAATACAAAATAAAACTGGGTCAAGAAAAATAAAATAATTCTATCAAGATTAACACATGACATGATATCAAGACAAATGTCATTAATCAAACACAATACATTTACATCTACACAGTACATTTATAGTACAACCAGTCAGAATGTTTAAATGTTTGAAAAAGCCTAATGTTGGCACGCCTGCTGCTCAGAAGTCATCATTTTAGCCCCTGACAGAAAGTGTGGGAGTTAGTGCAAGTTTTAAGTAGGGGTGTCAAATTATCACGTTAATTGCGATTAATTAATTAGTCATATTTAGCGCGTTATGTTTTTTAATCGCGTTAATCTCATTTTTAATCTCTAACTTTACTGTTTCTGTATGCGAGTTGCTTTATTATAAAACCTGTTTTTATGTGTTGTTGGGCCAACAACACACTCCAAAAAAACACATTTATAATTTTTTTTTATTTCGGTAATTCCACTCATTGCCGGAAACCCACACAAAACGCGCGCAGTAAGAGCGACGTCATGTTCAAGTTGGCGGCGTCAGTCGCACGATGGACGAGGTGGAAGAGCCAGTAGAACAGAGGCAGCAGTGCACAGGTAAAAACACATTCGTGTCTTGGAAATTCTTCTCCCGACATGAAATATAAAAGAAAATAACAAATATAAAATCGCCTACAACTTAAATGTCACTGGTGAAAACAACCTGCATAGGCTCATGATGTCTGCACTACTGTCCTATAGTGACCTGCCACATGAGGGGACACGCACACAAACACACACAAACACACACAAACACACACAAACACACCTTCATCATCGTCATTAACCTGAGAACGCGCGGATCACGTTTCCTTCCGTAGTTACTGCGTACGCTGCGTAAACTGCGCTTCCTCCTGTGCGCCTCTAATCCAGAACTAACACCAAGACTAAAACCGGGACTAACCCAGTCCAGGACTAAACCAGGACTAAAACCAGGACTAAACCAAAACTAAAACCAGAACTAAAACCAGAACTAAAACCAGGTCCAGGAACCAGGTAAACCAGTAAACCAGGACTAAAACCAGACTAAACCAGGACTAAAACCAGAACTAAAACCAGGTCTAAACAGGACTAAACCAGGACTAAACCAGAACTAAAACCAGAACTAAACCAGGTCTAAACCAGGACTAAACCAGGACTAAACCAGGACTAAAACCAGAACTAAAACCAGGTCTAAACCAGGACTAAACCAGGACTAAACCAGAATAAAACAGAACTAAAACAGACTAAAACCAGGATTAACCCATTCCAGGATAATAGGACTAATAAAACCAGGACTAAAACCAGTGATCTCATATATAAAACATTTCTCTATCAATAATATTTTTAATATGGTTAAGGAAAGACTGGACTTTTTATTGTCTTTAAGTAGACAAAAGTTATTATGTTCAGATTTCCTCATCTTTGCTACTTTACAGCAAACAGTTTTGGAGACTTGGGCTCAACAGCCAATTTGAAGAGATTTGTTAAACAATAAATGACTTTATAAAGTCACTTTTTTTTGTTCTATATCAGTCTTTTGATCTGCCACAATAATGTAATAATGAATTTAAATGAAAATACCTCAAATTGAAGGCTTTTCTCAGACATTTTTAGGTCAGATTAAAAAGAGCTTAATTAGATTAATTAATTACAGATCATAATTAATTAATCTCTCAATTTTTTTTAATCGCATGACAGCACTAGTTTTAAGATCAGATGGAAGCGTGTTCCAGTTTGTTCTACTGTGTATGAGAAAGCCGACTGTCCCATCACAGAACGTTTAAAGGGAACGGTCAGATCAGAATTTACAGATGAGTGAGATGTTCTAGTCATCTGCTCTGATCTTAACTGGAAGAAGGAGGGGGAGTAGCCTTGTGGAGAAATCCATGGAGCAGAAATGAAAAATCATATTGTCAAAGTTTCATAGGTTGTGTCTGTTCAGTATGTTATAGTAATGATAAGTTAGTGATTTTTTTTTTTTTTTTTTTTTATCAAAACTTTGAGGTGTTGCTTACAAAGAGTCTCAATTGTCTCAAATGTCTCTCTCAAATGTGTGTGTTAAAACTTAAATTGACTAAACTTTACTGTAAACACTCCAGTTAAAACAAACTTGTAACAAACTCCAGGTGGACCAGGATATCCACAGATCATATTAATATCTAGCCCCTGCAGCATGTTTACTGTGAGATCACTTCACTCAGATTTTATTTCATCTGCACTGCGTTCATGCGTCTATCATCATATTTTAAATACCCATAGTTTAAAGGTCATATTACACACAGTTGACTCCTGTAAGTTTTAAGTCATGTTATAATGCTGTTACCTCCTCAGAAACATACCCGGTGTTATGCTTTGTTTCATCCACACGTCTGAGTGATCCTTCTTTATTTGTCTTCATCTCCAAAGCTCTAAAAGCTCTGTTCCGCCTTATGATGTCATGAAGCAGTTGTTTTCAACTTAACAGCTACTTTTTACCTTTAGTTCAGTAGAGATTGGCAATTACAGCTCTGATATTTTCCAAATTATTGTAATGAAGGTGTATGGAGTTTAAAAACACAGTGGAGCACTTCCTGTATTACTACATGACATTGCAAGGTGAAATAGTGTTTTCCGTTTGAAAGACGAGTTCAAACTACATATGCAGGGTTTGTGTGTTAAACTTGTGTGAATGAAATTAAATAAAACTCCAGTTATGTTTTTGATGAGGATACAACATTATAACATCAGAAAACAGCACGATTCCTGATTTGCTGACGTGGTTTATATCGCTCTCATACTTATGCACATGAAACAAAAATTGGCATGCACAAAATATTTCTAAAAATGAAACACAAAATTGCTGGGTGAAACATTCTGTGATAACATAACATAATAGCCAAACCACAAACTTAAGGTTTTTTTTTTCTTGTATTTTTCAGACCTTGGTACACCTGTCACATACATGTTATTCACTCTGTCCTCTTCCAATCATTTACCATCAAAAAATAAATAAAATAAAATTATGTGACACCCTAATTCATATTAATAACAACTGGAGGATGGACAGAAATTGGAGAAATGTGTTCTTAATCCTGTCTGTTTGATACTTTAAATGTAGTTTCAACGAGGTAACGGTGTTTTCTTATTATTTTAGTTATCAGATAACAACTTCTGGGTGTTATTCTGGGGAACAGTTATGGAAATCCCTAGTGTGATGTCATACTTAATTTTAAACCTAAAAAATGGCCAAATTGGGGAAACAAGTGTGAATGTTTTTACAAAAATCTTGATTATAAGGAATATAAGGTTAATTGGGGTTTAGTCAAATGGGAAGTCTAACTGTCATAGACACTTTCAGTAAAATCAATATTTACTTTATATCTGAGGAAGAGGTCATAGAAACTTGAGGATGAGCTGGAATCACCTGAGAAAGGCCTGATCATGCGTCTGGGTGTGTCAGTCATGTTCAGCTTTCAGTTTATATTAGACGTGCTTTAGTAAGCATGATTAACTGGGAGTCAATATTTCCTTTTGTGTCACACCCTGAACGGTCAAAAAAATTTAGCCTAAGACAGGTTCAACTATTAATTTTACTAACCCACAGTTAAGATCATTACACTTAAGATTTTTGCAAGAACATTTACTCTCGTTTTCCCAATAAGACATTTTTTTAGATTTACAATTTTACTTCCTGGTTATAAATCATCACACCCGGGAATTCCAGGACTGTTACCGAGCAGAACCCCCTTAATGTTCACAGAAACTATTATCCGACAAATAAAAATATAAGAAGGCACCTTTATTTGGTTGAAATCACGTGTCAAGTATCAGAAAAAAGTGTGTTTCTTAAGTGTAAGTTGTGCCGAACCTCGCCTTCGTTTGATGACATCAGTGTTTTAAAACTCTCCATTTCCTGTAATTTTCAACATATTCTTCAACTTTTCTTCACAGAATGATTATTGACTGGTGTAAAACTATCACGTCTATTTAATTTTAACTTCATTTGGTTGGATGAAACCTGTAGAGAATCATGAAAATCTGTCATAGCACTTTAACATGGAATTTCCACAATGTTACAGTAGAATGTGTTCATGTGAACTTATAATAATATAATTATGCATTAATATTATAAATTATCATAACAAGAAAATGTGACCTTCATTAAAACTCAGTAGGTTTATTCTGTCTTGTACACAAAGTCTAAATATTTCATCTGACACACACAAGTACAGGTTCACAATAATAACAAATACAAGCACAAAACATTGAAAAGTGCTTATGGTACTGGGTCCTTGTTGCTGGAGTAATACACTTTTGTAGTGGTCTGTGCTGGAGCTAAAACAAGAAAACAGGTTTATTAGTTTGTCTTACTATGCTTACTACATAGTTATAACTGCACTATATTTAGAAATATTCTTAGATACACCCAAAATAATACTCAGCACTACTACTACTATACAAAAGGATGACTTATTACATTGGTTTGCTATAAAATGCGTCAAGTTCTAATGATAACCTACAAAGTATCATCACAAGAAGATGAACAGTCTTCTTGAAAGTGCATTCATTCAAAGGTGCACACTGTAACATTTTCTGTTGATGGTGTCTGCTTATCTCCATGAAAATGTTATTGCTTTACCTGGAATGATATGGTGTGTCGCATTAAACTTTGCTCATCTTCCATGTGTTCAATTACAATGTTTTATTCCATTGTAATACTTAAAGTCAAGACCCTGTGATTTATTTTTCCCCCCATGTATTTGAGCAAAATTTGTCTTGCCCCATGAGGCTTTTGAGGTCAAAACTAGTCTACTGTAGCCTGATTCATAAACTGTCTGACTTCACAGCATTAGGAATCATTCGCTCAACAGTAGGCAGGTACTTTTTTATTTAACCAATCACTGTTATTTGGTCGTGACATATGTAATGCGTCGTGAACGGGGCTAACTGGTATATTAAGCTTTTCCCAAATCCCGTAGGAAGAAGGGCAATAACATCTCTCTCCTTGATAAAATTCACCAAACATTCCCTTTGTTCCGACTTTATATCCTCGATCTCGGGAGTCATTGCCAACACAAAATGTATGGCTCTTCGCTGACTGGCTGGTGCCTAAACTCACACTTCCGGGTTCTTGCAAACCGTCTGGAGAGAAATGAAATTGAGCGGAGGCACTAGGTGGCACCAGTCTGGCTAAGTCTACTGTGTATTATAATTATAAAATGTATTTTGTCTTCTTTTTATATAGAAACTCTGTGTTTTCTTCTAATAAGACAAATGTTGTAAAAAGCTCAATTGCTTAATTACCTGACATGTTTTAGCAGTATCAGTATCAGTATCTTCTGCTAGTCTACTGCGTGGTGTCTGCGTGTTATCTGCCGTGATGGCAAAACTCCACTCTGCACTCTGAGTTGTGAAAAGCACTTATACACTCACCATAGTGAATAATTAGGATGTGTGGAAAGCAAAAGCTAAGTGAGGAATAGGTTTGAACCACTATGAACTGTTTAACATGAACTAGTTCTGTTTTTTGCAATTTTGACACAGTAAACATTCCTTCTCACTGTGAGGGGGTCGTGTCACATTGTGGAAAAAACTATGTGCTGTACTCTCCACCAGAAAAGTTACAAAGTGCACCAGACTGAAAAACAAGAAAAAAACAGTAATAGTTTAGCTCACCTGACTGGCAGAGGAAGTTGTTATGTTCTCCACAGGGCAGTGGGCTCCAGAGGCTGGGCTCCCTGTCCATGCCACCACACGGGTTTGGGAACAGAGGAGGGAACTCCTTCCAACTGTCAAACGTCACCGCTTCTCCTGACATCCAGAACCACTTCATGCCCATCACTTCTCTGTCACAAAGATACATAAGACCTTTCTTGTAATTCAGTACTTTGTTATTTAAATTGTCCGCTTTGCAAAACGCTGTTAACATGCTAGTTGGAAAAGATGGAGATGCAAATTTAAAAAGAAACATTTGACTAAAACGTGAGTGGAATATTTCAGAAAATAAATATGTGAAATAACTTTGGATCACTGCAAACTGTTTAAAATGAACTAGTTCTGTTTTACACATTAGTATGGTAACTGAGCACAGTGCCTTTTGAATCAGTGCACATTTTTGGTAATATTTTTTTTGCATTTTCAGAAATAAAATAAAAAAAATTAATAATAATAAATAAAAATGCCACTCGCTAAAGTACCTGCGCAGTCCTAGCCACACGTGGTCAGAGAGAGGATAGAGAGAGGTGTTTCTGATGAGCCGCTCCACCTCCGTCTGCTCATCCTGGCTGTGGATGCTGAGGAGGTCCCAGTAATGGTGTCTACAGTAGAGCAGAGCATCCGACCAGCACAAGCGGCCCCCTACCAGCCACACCGTCCGGCCCCCAATCTGTGCAGTCACGTTGGGGAAATGATGACTAGGGAGTGGTGGAGGGTCTGGAGCTTGTTCTGGTTCTATAAAGAGACAAAATATAATACATGTTTTTATACAACGTAAACAGGTAGATATGGTGTCCTAGTTGCTTTAACACATTTAAATGGACTTTGATTAGCTTTCAACCATGATGTTAAAAATGGTGTTCCATGACCATTCACGGATATTAATGTAATCCTGTATTATCCTGCATTTGACTTGCAAAGATTTCTGTTTGCATCTACCCTCTGTCTCAAACCACTGCTCCTTATTTACTTGCAATACAAAATAAAACTCAGGTTTATACATGTTGGGTTAAAAATCTCTGTAGCCTTTTTTTTTTTTTTTTTTTTAAGTATTGAAAACATGTAAATAAACTGCTGTGGTGAAATTTCACTACAAATAGGTGGGGCTTCTCAGTTCTGCTCAAAGTCAGTGGCTGTATTTCTGTTATAAAGCTGCTTTTACTCAGTATTGTGCATTACAATGAGCAAAATGTAAAATGAGTGTTATTATTTATGTGTGTAATACTAAATACCAAACAAATAACATAATATGTCCACTTTAATGTGCTAATCTCCTTGTGTTGGAAAGACATACCCACTTGAGAACCAAACACCTCCACTCCACAAATGGTTAAATTTGTTTTTTTGGGAATGTTGAGAGACACATATTGGCCCTCCATCTCAAAACAATAAAAGGCCTGCTGAAGGTCTGCAGAATGGATCGTGGCACATCTGATGGGAAAAAACAATAAATAAATATTATTTTCTAAAGTAGATCAGAATAGACCTGTCACGATTATTTCTATATCAATTTATTGTTATTGTTTTTTCTTTTTTGATGCTATGATAAGAATAACTTCTATGACTCATTACAGATGTAAACTATGGCTACGTTCAGACTGCAGGGCTTAACGCTCAATTTGGATTTTTTTGTGAAATCCGATGTTTTTGCGAGGTCGTTCACATCTGCAATTAAATGTGACTTGTATGTGATCTCCAGTGTGAACAGTAAATGGCCCAAAAGTGTCCCGCATGTGCACTGGAGAACAGGACGTCAACCACAGCGAGGGTGCTCTGTGTTTACGGAAGTTGTCCAAACATGGACGCCAGCATTGAGCACCTGGAGATTTTAAAGTTCCTCTCATACTGGAGCCAGAACATGAACAACTTACTTGTTTTAAGGAGGAGATTGAGAAGGAGAAGGACGAGGTTTTTGGCCGTGGCGTTTTGTGGGGCAGCAGCAGCGACGTCCGTTGAAAGGAACGTGTGGATGTGGAGACGTAGCCAAGAGTGGTGAGAGGCGATGTGCTTCGCTTCAGTGACACGGAGTTCATTAACAATTTTCACCTACTTCAGCGCAGAATAGTGACTTTTGTGGCTTGTTGATAATGTGTAGGTCGGATGAATGCGCTTTGGCCGTTCAGACTGAAGTCGCATGTCAAAAGATCGGATATGTATCGGTTTCAGGACCACATACCCAAGTGTCCTGGGTCGCATTTGAAAAAAATCGGATCTGTGTCGTTCAGACTGTCAGGACACACTGGAGGGACTATGTCTCTCAGCTGGTCTAGGAATGCCTTGGGGAAGTGTCTGGGGTGAGGAATCTGGGAGTCCCTGCCCCCATGACCCAGTCCCGGATAAGTGGAAGAAAATGGATGGATGAATGGATGGATGGATGTAGATTTAAAATGTTTGTGTGTGGTTTAAATCTGCTCTTGGATTTTTGTCAGTGGCATAAATTAGTTTCAGTATTCTCATTTATCATCTATATTTACTTCAGCAATATATCATACTTTAAATGTGTTATATCATGACAGGCCTAGAGCAGAATTTATGGGAGAAAATAAAACATGTTACATTACACTGGGTTGTCTTCATGTCTTAGACTTTTTCCGATTCTGATCTTTGCTCCAGTGATGTATTCAGAGCAGCAGTCCTTTCGATTGTAGATGGCGATGGCACTGACTCTGTACATGGCTCCCAGGTCCACTCTCCACCACGGACCCCACTCCTCCTCAGTGCAAATGCAGCAGTACTCGCCGAATGTTTGCCTATTGCAGTTATTCACTGCTTTATAGGCGCCCGCTGGAGTCCCATCAGCTTCCCACTGGCTTGACTGCTGCGCCTCTTTCCGTTTGGCAATGTTTCTTCGAGGCGCCACTATAAAAACAGTATCTTAAAGCTATTAGAGTATATTACACAAAATTTACTCTTGTGAGCTTCATGATATTGTCATGTTATAATGTTGTTACCTCACCAAAAACATATTAGGAGTTGTATTTTATTTCATTCACACATGTTTGAGTAATCCTTTATTATTAGTGTCTCTACATTTCCAAAGTTCAAAATGCTCATACTGGTGGTAGTTTTCATATTAACAGTTACCTTTTACCTTTTACTTCAGTAGAGATGGTCAAATGCAGGTCTGAAATCATTCAAATGATTCTAGTGAAGGTATCTGAAGCTTAAAAATACAATGGAACACTTTCTGTATTACCACATGACATCACTGGGTGTTTTCTGGTGTTGTTCTGGAGTAAATTCTAATGTTATCAGAGTGACTAGACAGTTTAATCTGCCTTTTCATTCACAAAGATGCTGTTTAGTACTTCTCTGTTTATAGTAGTTTTTGTGCAATAACCTAAAGATTTTTTTCTTAGCACCACTTTGTTCACAATTTTGGTGTATTAATCACAGTGGTGGAGTTAACAATTTGGGGGCCCTAGGTAAATTTGTGTTTGGGGCCCTCACTATAATGCACTGTTTTGTTGTTTGTTTGTTTGTTTTTTTATATTTATTGTCTGTTTTTCCCCATTGTTTTCAAGACACACACATCTCTATTTGGATTAAACTGGATTGGAAGCTTGTTTTATTAGTTCGTTCACCTACTACATAACCAGAGCTGAAAGTAGTTTTGTTTTTTATCTAGTACAATTACATTTTTGCTTACATCCATTACATATGATTATGTTATGATTCTGTTCAGATCAGGGTTAAGCAGACTCATCCATTCTTATGTGAAAGGGGGAAAGCTTTGAGATTTAAAATAGATTTGACAATCAGATACTGTTTTTATGGTGTTTTTTTGTTTAATAGTAAAACTACTCTCATTTAATTTCATACTGAGAGCAAATCAAATTGCTCTGAGGCAATTTTTGGGGGGGCCCTCCAGTTTCGGGGGCTCTAAGCCGCCACCTACTTTTGCCTAATGGTAGCGCTGCCTCTGATTAATCGATGTACAGGGCATGTGTTTTTCAATTTAACTCCAATTACTGTGTTTTCTAACATATTTCCTTGTTTCACCTGCTGGCTTGGCGTACACCTCCACCTCGCACAGGGTCAGAATCTTCTTGTGTCCGGGAAGCACCAGATTCACATATCGTCCCTCCATTTTGCCAGACTCACAGGTAAATGAAAAGGTGTTTCCCAAAGGTATGTGAGTGATGCTGGCACACCTGTAAAAGATATGCAAGTTTTTTTTTACATATTTACGTGACCCGCTTGTTTCCATGGTGATGTGGCTGCATTGTTTAAGGCACTGCATTTTTTTTTTCTGTGACCTTTAAAATGTGTGTACTGTAGGTTTTGTTATGATTAATCCATCCACTGCATAAATAGCATTTTGTCAGCGCATAGTTGGTAGTTTTGTGATAATGCAAAAAAAAAAAAAAAAAAGTACTTTCTTTTGCCATGCAATAAAATCCAAGACTGGAATTCAGGGGTGTCAAACTCAAATTGGAACGGAATTAAAAACTGGAACTAAGTCGTGGGCCAAACTAAATATTTACTGAAAAATGTCAACAACATCTGCGTGTTTTCTCTTCTTTTGAGATATGTAATGTTAAAACTTTTCTTATTAAAATAAATGTTTAATAATAGTTTTGCTTAAACATTGAATCCAGAACAAGCAAAAACATTGAATCCAGAACAAGCAAAATATAAAATAATAACACAAACATGTATTAGAGCTGGCAGCTCTAATACATGTTTGATATGATCTCATGGGCCAAATATAATTATATAATGGGCCAAATTTGGACCCCGGTCCTGAGTTTGACATGTCTGATCTAAATGATTCTATTGAAGGTGCATGGAGTTTAAAAACACAGTGAGCACTTCCTGTATTAGTGTAGTGATTTTTTATTTCTGTTTGAGAGAAGATCTCACTAAATATGAAGGGTTTGTGTGTTAATTAAGTGTGAATGAAATAAAACACAACTCTGGGTATGTTTTTGATGAGGAAATTTAATAAGATGAATCCGGAAATAGCATAGTATGGGCCCTTTAAGTAAGAGTAAGAAACGTTCCATAATAAGGCTTTAAATAATAATACCTGGGATTATCATTGCCGTTGTTGTGCAGTGAGTCTCCGATGCGTATCTGTGCTCCGTCCAGTCTTTCAGGGCAGCAGTCTCCTCTGTTGGTGACTTTAACTTCTGAGACAACAAAGGTTTGGCCCAGGTCCACTCTCCACCAGGGGGCAGTCTCCTCTTCAGTGTGGCTGCAGCTGCTCTCTGTGTAGTATGTGTCCCTCCTCCCGTCTATGGCTCTGTGGGCTCCGGCAGGATACAGCGTGGAAGACTGCACTGCCTGCCCTTTCACTGCCACGTTAGGCAGGGGATAGTCTGGATAGAAAATATAACATATAAAATCAAACTCAAATAGCTCAAAGATTAGTCGTCATTTAGATGATTAATTGGTCAGTGGTGTGGCGTCTTGAATGAAATTGGCATTAACCATTTCGTGTAGATTATAAGGATTTATATATGTGACAACAACAGAAAGGATTTGGTATTATTTGGTATTTGAATGTAAAAAAGCAGATTAAACTCAGGAGCCTTCACATACATACATTTTTTCCTTGTAGTTTTTTCTGCATAAATGGTGTAACTGTATTTTTGTAATCATACTTTGGGTCAGATAGATCAACTACAACTCTAATCTCAAATTGTGATCTACATTTGGAGAGACTGTGATATTATAACTTTGTACTTTGTAGTTTAACACAAATTGTATTTACCCTGCCCACTTCGAATATTATTCAGCCTCTGCATTAAGGTTTTGTGTCTACGTCACAAAACCACGTGACCTGCTGTTTATGCCGCCATATTGGAGGTCAAACTATCCATCTGGGCAAACGTGTAGTATTTGTGTGCAATAACATTTGAATTGAATAACAATGGTTTTGACCTGTGTTGCTATTGGATGTTTTGGCCGGAGTCAATCTGCTAAAGAAGGAGGCCAAAATATCTTTCTATTGGATCCCGGCTGATAAAGATCGCAGACAGAGGTGGATAGAGGACATAAAAGAGAGGGATGGAGCCCACTGAGTACAGTCGTCTGTGCAGTTAACATTTCATTTCTGGTGAGGGACTATCTCTACACAAAGGAAGAAGGGATTTACAGTAAATGAAATGATATATACCAAAAGTTGTTTTTTTTTCTCTTAGGTATGAAGAATGATAACCCACTTTCACTAGATTACGTCCCATCATTATTCACGTACACCCCATCGCCAGTGAAACACAAAGCAAAATGTTCACTTTTTTCCTAAAAACATATACTGGAGGTTAGGCACAGAGCGAGCGTTGATTAAACTAACAAAGCGGTCCATCGGAATTAGATCAGGATCTATTCCACAACCCAGGAGGACGAATTTAGATTTATACTTTTTTAATGATGGCTAATCTAACGAGCTGGTGATTTCATACAGTTTTATGACGTTTGAGCTGTTTAAAGTCATCATGATTATATTGTAACTGAATAACACCATCCGGATCAACCCCAATCTTGACCTCCAGTATGGACTCCAAAACATTAAATCACGTGACTACCACGTCACACACAAAGCCTGTGGGTGAGTGACAGGCCGATTTTACCTATCACTTCAGTTATAGTTATGTAAGTAAGTAAGTAAGTAAATGGAGGCTAGATCACCTAAGAGGGTAAGTCTGAACTTTTTTATTTACCATATTTTCTGTGTACGTAGGTGTGGTTCATGTCTTCAAATTAATATTCAGTTCAGAACACATTGTAATCACATCCATTTAATATTTGAGGGAAATCTAAAATTTGAACACCTAAACAGATATACTGTGTGAGTCAGAGATCATTACCGTAGTCTGTAGTGTAAACTTTGACTTCACAGAGGCTGAGATTTCTGACTCCATTGAGTTTCAGCCTCACAAACTGCCCCCTCACATTGTCACAGGGCAAGTACCATGACTGAGACTCTGGAAACGAAGAGATGGTTCCACACCTAGTTTAAAATCAAACACTATTTACTCTGGAACTGTAACATAGGAAAATCATTATTTCACACATTGTTCTTTGGAAACCATAGTATTGTTCTAAAAGGGTTTAATAAAGAAAACAGATAGTACAGCAGCAGTAACAGTAACTAAGTGGCCCTTTACACTATCAAGTAAAATTCCAATTATATAGATATTTATTTTTCCCCGCTTTCCGGGGCCGGATTGCAGGGGCAGCAGTCTAAGCAGGGACTCCCAGACTTCCTACTCCCCAGACACGTCCTCCAGCTCCTCTGGGGTGACCCCAAGGTGTGAGCCGAGAGACATAGTCCCTCCAGTGTGTCTTCCCTGGCACCTCCTCCCAGTGGGACATGCTTGGAGCACCTCCCAAGGTGCCCGGGAGGCATCCGGAACAGATGCCCGAGCCGCCTGAGCTGGCTCCTCTCGACGTGGAAGAGCACCTGAGCTCCTCCCGTGTAACCGAGCTCCTCACCCTATCTCTAAGGAAGCACCCAGCCACCCTGCGGAGGAAACTCATTTTGAGCACTTGAATCCATGATCTCGTCCTTTCAGTCATTACCCAGAGCTCATGACCATAGGTGAGGGTAGGAACGTAGACTGACCGGTAAATCAAGAGCTTTGCCTTTCGGCTCAGCTCCCTCTTCACCACAATGGTCAGATACAGAGACCACATTACTGCTGACGCTGCACCGATCTGTCTGTCAATCTCACACTCCATCCTCCCCTCACTTAGGCTACATCCACATGACAACGCTGCTGAATAAAAATAAATAAATAAATTATGGGCTGAAGCATTGCAGCTTTAGTCCATGCATTAGGTAAAATTATAAAATATGTTTATTTTGTAATTCCAAATTATCTTATATGGACCGGACAGAGTTAACCAAAGGTCCGCATGTGACTCAGGAGCTGTACAGTGCTCAGATCTGCTTCAGTTTATGCAAGGGCCACTGTGATCATGAACAGTGCAGTACGTGAGAGACTTGTCAAGCTTGTAAAGCACAATACACATACAATCCAACTAACTCTTAAACTGCTCTCTTTCCTTTAAGCCAGCTGGAGAAATATAAAAGTAAATTTGTCATAAATGTACAGGTTAATGCAGTCCATACCGATGTCAAGTGTAGTTTTACCTTGTGCTGTCCTCCTTGGGATCCGATTTGTCGATCCAGACTTCAGTACCATTCAGATTGTACTTGATCATGTTGCTGCTGGTGATTATGACAGAGTGGATTCTGAAGGTTTTCCCCAGGTCCACCTTCCACCACGGGTCAGCCTCCTCATTAGTGAGAGAGCAAGTATTGGAGGAAAATTCAGTATTTTTATTTCCGTCGATTGCTTTTTCAGCGCTCTTATTTGTAGATGACTGATAAGCTGTCCCACTTAGAGCAACATTTTGCATTTGAATACCTTAAAAAAAGAATTACAAACATGTTCAAAATAAAAACACGAACGTAATCGTAGCCTCTGAAGAATAGTTTGCATGTTTCTGTGCATTCTTATTATATTAATGTTGGATTGGCGAGATTGGGAAATGGTAAACACTGCAATTACTGAAGGTCATGTTTAAACATCAAAATATCCGATCATCTATCTAAAAGTAAGCTCTACAAACATGTTCTGAAATGCATGGGGTTCTTGTATTAGATTAGAAGTTCATATTTCAGTCTTCTCTCAAATGTTAGTGATTATGAAAGCATCTAAAATTACAATGTTTTTTATATTGAAAGCCTTTGTTTTACACTGAATCTATGTAGTTCATTTTTTGGCATTATTATATTATTTTTGAATCATGAAAGCTGAATTTTTCACATTTTTGCTTGAATATAGTTGCAGTGAATTAAAAACAACAGTATTTTAACAGTCTCAATTTTAAAACCCTGCATTTCAACAAAACTGAATTTTAACCCTCTCAGGCTCAAATAAATTTTTAGTATCAGGAAAAATCTGATATTTGGGGAAAATTATAATATGGGGTAGTAATATACAATCCTGACTTTTTTATCCTTTGTGAACAAAAAAAGTATTTTGCACTTCTGGCAGGTCGTTTGTGTGTAGTCATTCTTGCACAGTCTGCATCGTCCACGTTTATCAGCATGGATGGGAGAAAAGGCTCCTGAGTAAAAAAAGCTCATAAAATATGGATGTGAAGTAAGTAGGTAATTGGAATTTAGCTGTTGCAAATCTGCAACGCCTGCCTGGAGAGGGTTAAAATGCTTTTCTTTGGTACGGAACGAATAGGAGTAGGTTTACATAAGTTTTCTTCTTCCCAATCCTTTTCCAGAAATGTGCTTTTCTGTTGTTTACAATGTATATGTGTGTATGTGATTATTGTTTCTCTCTTGGCACAAACTTGAAATAAAAATCAATCAGTTAATCAATCAATACACCGTCAATTCATATTTTTACTTGATTCAATGTAAAAAATATATATATATTAAAATGCAAAGAATTTAGTTACATATAGTTTCAGTGTTAAAATAAAAAAGCTGATAATACAAAATAACCCAAGATCATGACAGAAAGGTCAAAAATAAGTGGCAATAATTTAAAAACTTTGACAAACAAGAGTGCTTACCGGCTGCTAGTCTGGCAGATAGAATCAGCCAAAGCCCTGATGAGGAAAAAAACACATTTAGTAAACTTTGAAACAAAATATTGATTTGATTCAGAAACTGAGCTAACCATAAAAAACAATGAAATGTCGAGCCATGATTTGAATCCTTTTCATTTTGCAGACTTGTGCTGAAAGCTTCTGGTCCGTTCATTTGAGAAAAGTCCTCAAACCCCAGCATATGTTCCCCTCTAGTATCAAAAAACATGTAAACGAACACAATTTACATGTCTACAATTTACATGAAAAACAATACAACCAAACATGCATCTTATTAGCCACACACAAACAAATGAGTGAACACACAACTCGGTACGTAAGAAAATCCAAAGGGGAAAAACAAATATTGCGTGGGCCTTGCCTGGTAAGCAACTCTTACTCCACGCAACAAGTCAGACTCTAAAAAAAATGAATAAATATTTCATCCATATATAATCTAATTATATTTACACATATCTTACACAAAATTGACTCTTGAGGTTTAAGCCATGTTGCAAAAAACATACCTAGAGTTGTGTTTTTTTCATTCACACATGAGTAACTTGTGTGACTTTAAAACTGTAATGTGTTATTTATGACTTGTTACTGTCATTTCAAAGTAATTTGTTTGTATTTAAAGTGTAAAACATTATACGACTATCGCAGCTCTTTTAAATTACTCTTACCAAAATAACTGTGAATGAACCAGGACTAAAGAGGACTAAACCAGGTCTAAATCAGGACTAAACCAGGACTAAATCAGACCTGAACCAGAAGTGAACCAGGACTAACCAGGACCAACTCTGGCATTTAATTTCTGCTAATGTCGCTGTGATTTTAGCAAATTTGTATGAAGAAAATCGAAAAACCCACTACTTCAATCCAAGTTAAAAATTCATTGTAACGCGCGTTACTGACATTTGTACCCAGTAAAATATACATTTTTTGTTTTCCCCTGTAATGCCTTACATTCATGTGTTACAGCAAAAAGCAATGCATTGCAGTAATTTGTTACTTTTATAACACATTACTCCTAACACTGCTCTTTATTATTAGCCTGTCTACACCTTCAAAGCTCAGTGTTCCACCTTGTGATGTCATGAAGTGGTAGTTTTCAAGTTAATAACTACCACTGACCTTTACTTCAGTACTGAAATGGTTATAGTTATAGTGAGGGGGTGTGTTGTGGAAAAAATGATATATCTCTCGATGATAAATAATTAAACCATTTGCAAAGCCTGATAAGTTTTTGGCATGTAGACCAAGGTTTATTCCAGTCCACTCCAGTCCACCTTTATTTGTATAGCACATTTTATAAACAAAACAGTTTCTGAAGTGCTTCACATAGCAATGTAAAACATTTTACCTAAAAAAAATAAAATAAAATCTGCAGAATTATGTTTGAACCATAAGGAAACTAATAGAATAAATAAATAAAATAATAATAATTAAATCAATGAACAAAAGTAATTTAAAATAAATAATAAATAAATAAATAAAAGACATAGAGGACCACACAACTCACGCTGTATTAAAAGCCAGAGAATAAAAGTGGGTCTTAAGACAAGACTTAAAACACTCCACTGTGAGGGCTGTTTGGACGTGGGGGGGCAGAGAGTTCCAGAGTTTGGGTCCAGCCACAGAGAAGGTCCTGTCCCCCCTTTTAAGTCTCATTTTAGGCACCATGAACTGGAGCTGGCCCTCGGACCTCAGAGTGTAAGTATGTATAAGAGTGTGTAAGAGTGTGAGTATTGTGGGGCCAGTCCATCCAAAGCTTTAAAAACAAATAATAAAATCTTAAAATCTATTCTAAAATTAACAGGAAGCCAGTGTAACAATGCAAGAATTGGGGTAATGTGATCGTGGTTTTTGCTCCCTGTTAAAATAAGCGCAGCAGAGTTCTGGACTAACTGCAAGCGATGAAGTGCGGTTATTCTGAAGTTCTTCTTGTTCCAGCAGATGTGGACAGGGTCTAGGTCTGCCCTGGCCACAGACCAACAGTCTCTCTTAACCAGCAGTCTGTCCCTACCACATCTTGCCCCATTTCCCACCCCAAATGTTACAAAGCACCGAGTTTATAAAGCCTGAGATGATCAGAGGACATATACATTTCAAAGTGAGAAGGTGATGACTCCTACAGAGGTGTGTCCAGATGTGCTTGATCTGATTTGCCTCCGTATTCATGTGCATTTGTCACTTCCTGACAAGATTAGCAAGTAAACCTTTCAATGCAAATACTTCATTGAAGTATTTGCATTGAAAGGTGTGGTGGACACCTCTGCCGCCACTCCATAGTGTCAGTATTATTTAATTTCACTTACATTCATTAATAATTACATTACACATAATTTAATTCCTTTATTTAGACTTGTACTCTAATTTGAGTGCACACATTTGAGTTAATATAAGTCTGATTTACTTACACTTAAGATAAGATAAGATAAGATAAGATAATCCTTTATTGTCTCCCATGGGAGAAATTTGTCTTGGGACAGTGGGTAACTTGTTCTTTTTTTTGAGCACCGGACGGAGGACCGTTGGAAGAGACCACCGTGACTCAACAAGGGGGAAGGGAGCACTAATTAGTTTTTATGAATTTAGTTTGTTTAGTTTGTGTTGAGGTCACTTTATTATCATTTATTATTTTCTGCATTATAATTATTTGCCTTTTGTTACTTTGATTAAGTTAGTAGGTTAGTTAATTATTTAGTGTAATTCCTCACTCTTGTGTTCAGTTTTAGTTGGTCCTCATGTATTTAAACACCGCTGTTCCTTTGTCTGGTTGGGTTAGTTTGATCTGTTCAGTTTGATTTGAGTTACCCCAGTTGGGCCCTGCTTTTTTGTTAAGAATTTGCCTAATTTGAGTCTTTGTTAAATTATATCTTTTTTGATTTTATTAAATTTAAACTTATTTTTATACCTTGTCTTTGCCTTTCTGTTTGGTCCACTACAAAGGGTCTTTCTAACAAACCAGATGAGTTTTAGTTACAAGACCAAATGTGTTTCTAAAAGATAAACTCACTATATTAATTTAATCAATCATAATCAATATTTTCCTGTGAGGGTCTGGTCTCGGGTAGAAATCACATTCATTAACACAAAGACAGAATGAGAGAAATCTTTACACAATATAAATTTCCATCACAGGTCAACATGGTGGAGCACTTCTTGTATTACCACATGACATCACAAGGGGGAGTGTTTTCCATTTGAGAGACAAACTCAACATAAATGTGCAGGGTTTGTGTGTTAAACATGTGTGAATGAAACAAAATGTAACTCCAGGTCTGTTTTTGATGAGGACAACATTATAACATAGATGAAAAATGGGGTAATATGAGCCACGGTGTAATGGTGTAATATGAGTCTGTGTCCCGAGATATGAGGTAAAAATGTTCCAATCAAGTATAGCTTTTACTGATAGCAGTCGTAATCCTGATTTATTCTTATTTACAAAAATAAAAAATAAACATTGAACATGATGGTCAAGTTGTTTGTATTAGAATGTGGTGATTTGTTTATCAGAAAGCCTTACATGAGTCTCTTATTTAGGTTGCCAGTTTCAAAGCTGAAATCCAGTTGGTTTATTCAATCTAAAAGGCCTCTCTCTGATCTGAATCCTCACGACTTTAAACCCCAGTATCCCGGCAGCCAAGCATTAATCAGTGGAGGTTTTGTCAAATATTTGTGATGGACTGAGACGTTAGACATGTACAAATATTGTGACTATAAGCAGGGGTCTCCTCTCCACAGATCTGACTTGTAACTAGTAACTACTTCCATCAGCCCTTCTATCTTTACAGTATTTTTGTATTGCCTATATCTGTCTTTTCAGAGTCACATGTAGGAGTGGGAGAAAAAAAACAAAAAAAACAAGACAACTTCAAAGAATATTTTATTTTCAAAAAATATTAAGAACAATTTTTATGTAAAATATCTGTAATGTGCAAAAATCAGTTCAAGAATAATAATTTCATATAATTTATAGCATTCATGTTTCCCAGTCTTGTCTTGCCACATGCACGCACACACACTCACAAACACGCACACACATACATACAGTATTTATCAGCCCAACTAGGCGTCATAATAAAATAGATTTAAACAACTCATTCATGGAGATAAACTTAAACATGAGAACACAATCTGCCCTTTAATGGCATCATTTCAGTGAAAAAAAAACAAACAAACACTAAATAAAATAAAGGAATATAAGAGAATGGCTTATAGCATAGGTCCTGGTTACTTTAAGTGCTTTATAGAAATTCATATGATATGGAGACTTTAAGTAATATTCTTTTTACCCATAGACTTTTTGAAGGCTATGATAAGGAATGAATGTAAAATTACAGAATTGTTGAAATAGCAGATTTACTCATATTTTTAAGTTTCAGATGCAAAATGTAATTGTATTAATTTGTTAAATTAATCTCTATGATGTAAAGGTGTATATGCTATTTACATGTTGTTTTGGTTCTCGGGCTGATAGTCCAATCAGAAAGCAGAATGAACCTGTCACTTTTGGATTGCCAGATCCTATGACTAAAACCACTTTGTAATAAAACTCAAAGGGCTCTCTGTGATATATACTTTGAGTAAATGACAGTATAATGGTGTTTAGGTTTCAGCTGTAACTGTATTGAATTGTTTTGAACCAGTTGTAGTTTCATGTTACGACCATCATATTAAAGTCTATGGGAAAATAGTCAATGTTGAGCTCCATTGTCCTGAGTATATTAGGTCATGAGACAGGTTCCAGCTTGTCTCATACTTTAGTAACCACAGTAACCATTATAAACGCCTTCTTCCCTTTCAAACACAAAAGGGACCTTAGCCACGCCTCCTCCTTTCACGTTTTGTGGTAATTCAATACCACCGTCTTTATATAAAGCTTCAAGATATCTCTATTGTCTGTCTATTGCACACCTTCTATAGCTCGTAACTAGGGCTGGGTACCATTATTATTTTTCTTTTTATTTTGAGAAGTTCATTAATGTCTGGTATAGGAGAATACTTTTTCTGGTATCTTTGCTGTTAAATGTATTATTGTGTTTTATGATCTTAGAAGTGATTATGTTCACCCACCAGTATAACCTGTACTTTCTACTTTTTTTGTTTTATTGCTTTGCCACCAGTTTTCGGTACCAATATTTTTTTTACTGTCATTAGTAAATCTGTAAACGGTCCCCAGCCCAAAGTTTAGCTATGCTTTTTGGTAGAAAAGGAAGTATAGGGAGAATGTATAGAATTTAAAAATATTAGAATTTAAAAATATTCAAATTTGATTCATATCTTAAATTGTATAATATAACTAATGTTTGTTTTACAGTTTTCTTTTGTATGTAACTTTATGATTAGCTTTGGTTTTAGCTTTCCTTTTTCTTAAGAAGGAGGTTTCAGGTTCTTCACAGCCAGGCCAGACTCAGAACACCCAGAACGATCAGAAGAGCTGCAAAAAAAACAGACTCAAGAATGAATAAATGAATAAACAAAATGGAAAATCTAGAAACTGCCTTTATACTTCCATTCCAAAAAAAGTGAAACTACAATTCCACTGAATACAAACTATGAACTAACAGAAGTTAAATGTGGAACTTGTGGTTCGAGCAAAACTACCTTCCCTGTTTTCCTTTGTTATAATATTCATAACCTTAACTGTATTTTTTGTGACGTCACCTTTTTTCATCTTTATTATTATGTCTTTTAAAACATATAGGAATTATTGTCTGATTCTGTTTCACAAATGGCTACTTTCATAATTTATATATGAAACTATGAGATATAAAGTTTAGGTGCAAGCTGTATAAAAATGTTGAACAGTAAAACTCTTTGCTTGCTTGTGTACAGTGTAATAGTGTAATACTTGCTCGTACCAGTGGAGACGGACGGCAGGGGCACAGTTCCTGCTGTGGTGGTGGCGGGGGCAGCAGTGGAGTTGGTCAGTGTGTTGTTGGTGTCAGCTTTTGGGTTGGTCAGGTCCACTGGAGCTGTCCTAAGTTGAGTTGTTGGGGCACTAGGCTGTCCTGTGGCTGAAAGGGAAAGATTGATTTGATTTTTTTGTGTTTAAAGATACTATCTTAAATTTCCAAAGCACTCAAACTTAGGCAATAAAATAAAAAAAGAGAATAAAAGCAATTTAGGTCTTAAATTTAATTATAAACTCTTAAAGGTATTATGCGAAATTGAAGGTTAAGCCATGTTATAATGCTGTTACCTGAAGTTGAGTTTTGTTTCATTCACATGTTTGAGTAATCCTTTATTATAAGTTTGTGTTCCACCTCGTGATGTCATGTTGTTGGTCATGTTCTCAAGTAAACAGGTACTTCTGAACCTTTTGTTTTGTAGAGATTGGCAATACCAGGGCTGAAATCATTCAATGTTTCTAGTGAAGGTGTATGGAGTTTAAAAAACACAGTGGAGCACATGGCATTACAAGGTGGAACATTGGAGTATTTTCTGTTTGAGAGGCTAAATATGCAGGGTTTGTGTGTTATACATGTGTGAATTAAAGAAAGCACAACTCCAGGATTGTTTTGAGATGGTAACAATATTATAACATAGTGTAATATGGGCCCTTCAAACTTCAGCTGTCATGAACTTGTATGATTAAGTGTGTGCTTATTTATGGCCATTATCGCATATTTGTCAAAGTTTGGAGACCTATTGCACTGAACATGACTTACTTTCGTTATAAGTTCCAGTGACCACAGACACTTCAAAGGTGGTGTCCGCAGACCTGGCTGTAGCGTTGGGGACAGTGGCAGAGAAAGAGCACTGAATCTTTTTTCCATTCATGACAGCTCTCACTTTGTTCACAAGGACCTGAGGTGGAAAAGCATTTCAAGTTAGCATTTGTAGAAATTACTGAATGATTACGCATTTGTAGAAATGACAAGGTTGAAACAGACTATTAAGTCTGATATCTTACAAAATTGTGAAGAACTATAGTCTAATAATACACAAGGTGACCTATAATATATTAAAACATACATTCTGATGAAAATATGGACTTAATATTTTGGAACATTCAAGTCAGATTAGTCCTGAGCAAGTTTAGCAAGACGGAGATGGGTTTCATAGGTTGCAGCAGGAGGCAAATCTCTCTCCAGGTACAATAAAGTATGTCTTAATTTATATTTTGCAAATCCTTAAAATTCCTATCATGAAATGCACTCATGGATTTAAAGCTATGGCAACTGTCCTCTGTGGCAATTCAAAGCAATTCAGATCTAAAATATATCTTCTGAATGGGGAAAGGTTCTTCAAATCAGAAAGGAATTGTTTGTCTGAAACTCATTCACAACTAAGTGAAAACAACATTTACTGATTTCTTAAATAACATTCACTCACCGTTTGATTTGTGAATTTTCCATTCACGAGCTTAGCGCCAATGAAGATCAGTTTGTTTTTGGTTTTGACACACAAGTAAGCCGTCTCGTCACCCTGCAAATACAAGAAAAGATTAACTTACATTGAATTTGCCCTTTTGCTATTCTTGTCACGATAAATCGTCTTTACATGATGCATTGTGTGGCAAAAGAAAGATTGAGAAATATAATCTATTCATTTTACATGGGGTTTTCTCATGTAATCAGGGGTCAGGCTGTGTGTAGAGTTCATTTTTGTGACCTGCTTTATCACAGTTGCACAGAGGATTAAGTGGGTGGGGCCAACTGAAACATGTTCCTGACTCATGGTGTGAAATCAGGTAGAGGTCCTTTAACTTACAGCAGTTGGCTTCAGAGTGCAGCCCAGATAGCCATCAGTCTCTCCGGACAGCTCAAAGTCCATGTTTTGTCCGCTTGATTGTTTCACTCCGACAAAGTAACAAGAGCCAGCCACTTCAGGGTCACAGCTGTCGGGTTGGGCTGCACACAGCTTCTCCTTTTGACACTGGTCTCTGGTGATATTGGTCTGGAACAAAAATCATTGTCAGTTAACAACATTCACAAACTAGGAACCTGAACTTTAAAATGAGAAGTAAACTAGATTTTCATTACCAGATTTAACCTAAAGTTGTTTTTATTTCTATTATTTCCAATCTCTTTTTATTTTTTATTTAAAGCATTCACTATTTGACTATAGTGTAAATAGGTTCTGACTGTTTTAAACCTGGTTTAGTCCTGATGTAGACTTGGCTTGGTTAAGTTCTAGTCTTGGTTTAGTCATGGTGTAGTTCACGTTTAGCTCTGGGTTTGGTCACAATTAAAGGTAAGGTGTATGTAAATGTGAATAAAGGTTAAGGTGAAGACATACGTAACTAGACAAAATTCGTTTGTAATGTTCTCCTTTTCTCCTCCCTTTTACCTGTTTAACATGTTCCATTCAGGGTGGGTGATGTGACAACATCAAATTAAATTACAAATGATGCTAACAATCCACTAATTTGTTAGTACAATTATTTAGTGATTCAGTGCTCTTCTGTTTAATTTGGTTTAATAATGATCGAACCACTCCTTTTCAGACTGCGTCATCCTGAGTGACGTGTGTATATGTTTAAATGTTGTTACACAACTAATATGAACTGTGTATAGAAATGTTATCAAATTTTAAACTGTGCTATGAATGCTTTTATTTATTTTGTGTGTGTTCAATTTTTTTTTTGTCTTACCGAAAGTTCCGTAACTGTTGTATTGGGCTCAATTGGGGGAGCAGTAGTAGTAGTAGTAGGAGCAGCGGTTGTAGTAGTAGTTGGAGCACTGGTATTATTTCCTGCTGTTGCGTTTGTGGCCGCTGTGGTAGCGTTTTGTGTTGTCATGTTTGAGGCCGCAGTGGTAGTTGATGTCATGTTTGAGGCCGCAGTGGTAGTTGATGTCATGTTTGAGGCCGCAGTAGTAGCTGATGTCATGTTTGAGGCCGCAGTAGTAGCTGATGTCATGTTTGAGGCCGCAGTAGTAGCTGATGTCATGTTTGAGGCCGCAGTAGTAGCTGATGTCATGTTTGAGGCTGCTGTTGTGGTTGTGTTGCTTGTTGGTGCCATTGTGGTACTGTTAGTGCTGGTCGTGTTTCCTGCCATTGCCATTGTGGTATTTCCAGGTGCCATTGTAGTTGAGGTCGTGTTCATAGTGGTTGTGGTACTCTGGGCATAGATGCCAACAGACATCCAGCACAGTGCCACCAAGAGAACGATGGAAGCAAGGTTGAAATTCATTTCTGTTAAAAACATAGCCAGAAAATGTAGTTATTAAATACAGGATAAATTATTGTCATTGTATTTATTGTGGTGAGATCTCTTGAACAAAATGTGTTTTCTGGATTTGACAAAATAGCAAAACAAAATTTGAATTGACTCAAATATGATTTTTTTTTTTTTTTAATCACACCAAAATAAGGAAGCGTAACAAAAGCTGCAGTATTTTTTATTTTTTTTATCTTTATCTCAGGTAATTTTAACTCCAAAAAAACATTCAATCAAAACTGAAAGAGCCATTTGCTGTCATATACTGAAGAAAGATCATATTATATTTCAGAGTGATTTTAGAATTTGGCAATCCAAAGTGAGGAGTTCATTTTTTTCTGTTTTTCAGCTCAAGAATCAAAACACAAAATGGAAAGAAAAACAACTTTTCCATGAAATAATTCAGTAACGAGTATGAGTCAACATTACAACTATTGTTTGAATAGTCAGCGTTTTACCTGCTGATGTGGAGCCTTTAAACTGTTTACTTGCTTATTCGTGACTATGACATAAGTTGAGCTGAATAAACAGGAGCTAATATCAGGTGTCATCTCTGTGTAAATATGGCCGGGTGCATAGGAGGATGTAGGTCGTGTATAAAGGACCTCTGTAGCAGCAGGTGCTTCGAGGTGTGGTCTCATCAAACATGTATGAATGCAATGTAGTTCTAAAGCTAAACTAATAATGCTCACATACAAATATATCATCAATCCTTACAAAAATGACTTTTAATTGCCTTGGTACGACGTTTTCACGAGGTTTCGGGAATGAACAAAATATTTTCACAAATCAGCAACCAAAAAAAAAAGTTGCTGAAGTACTGCACTGTTATTTCAAAGAAGTTTAATTCAATATGATTTTAATCAATTATGAAAATACGAGTCGATTTCATTTCTTTTCCTTAGATTAAAAAGGTTAGTTGACATTAAATTCTTTTTGACTTGACTTGATTTAAGTATTTTGGCATTACAATAGTTCTATAATTGTTTTAAATCGACCAACAGTTCCCAAATAATTCCCTTAATGGCTCGATAAAGTTTGTTCAAACATAAACTATAGTCTATGTATAATACCAGTAGCTTAAAAAAAACTAAACAGATTTATAATAATGCAATAATACAATAACGTTTAATCAGATGAAACTAAATGACTCAGTATAAGAAGTATTTTCACCTTTACCTGTAGTAGTCTGGGCTTGAGGTGTGTCCGGTCCTGTTAGTCCAGCTCTTGTATATGTGATGCTCACCTGCTCACTCAGTTCCACTATTTAAGCAAAGGAGGAGGGAAAACCCAGTTACCTGCGCGGAAACATGATGCTGAGGAGGCGGAGTATCCGATAGTTTCTACAGACACTTAAAACCATTTCGTTTTTGACATACCTGTACATTTTTACTGGAATATGACTTTCCTTTTTTTTTTTTTTTGTCTTCCTTGTTGCCACAGTAACAGTAACGATTTCAGATGATATAATTTTTCATGCAGTCTTATCTCATAGACTTCAGCATTCAGTAGTTGAACGTGGAAATTTTATGTTACAAAAAGGAATGTAGAGTTATTTTTTTGTGGTTAGGATTTTGCGGGCCCCAGGATGAAGACATAATAAAAAAATGTATCTTTTTGTCATGGTTTATTTGTAAATTAAATCTGGTTTTAATCCTATCTGAGACCTGGTATAATCCTGTTTTAGACCTGGTTTAGATGAATCATTTCTTAGTAAAAATGGTCATGGTTTGGTAATATTTTAGAGCTGATTTCAAGACTTTATGTAGTCCCAGTATAGACCTTGTACAAAATGGATACCACTAAAAAAGTCAAATATTTTCATAAGTGATAGTTGACAGTAGCAGGCTGTTTTTATGATTTTTGTTACGTACTGGCGGTCCTTCCAAACTCACATTGTTTTTTTAATTGCTTTAAGAACTGTTTTAGTTATAGTTGAGTTCCAATTTTAGACCTGGTTAAGTCTAGACTGAACATTTACTTTACAGGATTATGGGACATTGATAGTCAATATGAAGTTATAATGACAAATTAGCTTTTAGTTTTTGCAGATTCACTGGACTGGTTAATCCAGATTGATGTCTTTCTGGAGTTTTATACAGATTGTTATCAGTCTGTCCCCATTCCTCTGTCGCCTCTCAAGTCCGGTTAAACATGATAGCGCAATCTGTTTTGTTTTTTCATTGAGGCATGTTAAATGAATCAGTTTACTGGTCATGTACAGTCGGTGGTGGAAGTATTTTGTTACTTAAGTAAAAGTACATATACAAGAGCAAAAAACTATCAACCGAAGTATTAAAGAACCAGTTTTAAAATCTACTTAAAGAGTAAAAAGTATTTTGGCCAGTTTTAGATCTAATAAAGCTCCTCTCAAATGTGGTGACATAAAAGTAGAAAGTATCGTCTGTAAAATGTACTAAAGTAAAGCACTGATACCTACATTTTTTTTTTTTTTTACTACTTTTACTATGTTTCGTTCCACCGATCGAATAATGAAATTTCTTTAAACTCAGATGAATAGAGTTTTATGTTTCACTCACTGATTCTGCAGAAATACACCATATTTTTCAGTCCTCTGTGATATTTGTTTCCTTTATTTTTTCCAATGCAGATGGACCATGTGTGTCCCCAATTGGCTAATCCCCCTGTCAGTCACTCCCATTTGAAAATGGGGAGACTCACAGGTGACCAGACTCATATCTTTGTATTGAAGAAATAAGTATTCTGGTTTCCAGGCAACCGATTCATAGATCTTGTTTTTTTAATCAGTCAGAATAACATGCATAAGATTTCCAGGCTTACAATGGCTTTAATATCAAAACACAATGTATGAATGGTGCTTTTTTTTTTTAGGTCAGCAGGTTAATGCAGTACTCGGTAACTCAAAATATCTCTTACTTTTACACAACATAAATTCCTCATAAATTGTTGAGTATAGCCCTGATTATTTAGCCAGGCTCGCGCCACCTAGTGCCTCCACTCAATTTCATTTCTCTCCAGTGACTAGGTCAGGAATTGGAATACACTAGACGGTTTGCAAGAACCCCGGAAGTTGTAGATCGTGCAGCAGCCAGTCAGCCAAGAGCTGTGAAGCCATAAGGTTAAACTCAAGCATCTGTCTGGGTCCCATTTGTGGAAGAGCACAACAGTAAACAAAGCGGTCAAGATGGATATAGACGAAGACAGACATTCTGTGTTGGCAACAGTTCCCGAGATTGAGGATTTAAAGCCAGAACAAAGAGAATGTTTGGTGAATTTTATCAAGAGGAAAGACATTATTGTCCTTCTTCCTACAGGATTTGGGAAAACTTAATACACCAGTTAGCCCCGTTAGTGGTGCGTTACATGTGTCACAACCAAATAGCAGTGATTGGTTAAATAAAAAAAGTACCTGCGTACTGTCGAGTGAACGGATCCTAATGATGTGAGATCAGACGGCTTCCATGAAGTGAAACCGGCTGATGAATCAGGCTGCCAATTATTGCTGTCTTAAAGACCTTAAAATAGAATGAGTTAATTTGAAACTGTTTCCAGCGACTTACTCTTCACTTTCCTAACACATTTCTAGCACATTAATTATGCAATGAATGAAAAGTGCTTTTTCAACTTCAGAGGCCAGAGCATAGTTTTGCTGTCATGCTAACAGCTAGCAAGCTAACAGTGCACCAGGATATATGCTTTGTAATTAGATGCAGACAGCAAACAGTGATCTCATGTTGACCCTTTTTATTTCATTTTAAAGGACTTGCAATGGTCAAAAGATCTTCCTCATTTACCTTAGGCTTTCAAAGCATCCTAATTATTCACAGTGATGAGTTAATAAGTACTTTTTACAACTCTCGGACCAGAGTGGAGTTTTGCCGACACTGTAAAACTGCAAACATACTCCTGATTATCAGACAATGAAATGTTTTTTATAGACATAGTCAACAATGGCTTTATTTATTTACCTCAGCTGCTTAGAAAATATATCTGAACTAGAGAAGACATATTTTGCTCAAATACATGGGGGAAAATCGAGTGTAGCCCCTTTAAGACTTGACATACTCCCGTTATAGTCTATATATCTGGTGGCAATTAGGAAGACAAACATTGTGGTTGGGGTGAAAGGTTTAAAAAACACTGGGCTAAAGCCTATGGCAGCCTCGTGCACCTGTCCACTAGTTGATAATAATAACAGGTGAAATGTGAAACCAACCAGGGCACTCGTGACAATGGGCCAGAACTGGTTTGTCAAAACGTATGGTATTTTTCGGTTTGGCTCAGTATCTGCATTGTGGTTGGGTTTTCAGAGAACCACTCCTAGATTATTTATAAAACTGGCATGTTGAGACACAGACAGACTTGTAATCTCATATCTTTGACACTGGACATAAATCAGTTGAGAATGATTGAATATCAGAGTTTTGCATTTTGATCTGGTCATAGCCTACTGGACATTTTTTTATATTCAGAAACTGAATTTGAATCCCCCTCTCAACATAAAAATCATTGGTTCAGGGGTCAGAGCCACTGGCCCACAGGTTGGCAGTGCGATTCCTGCTCCCACAGAGGAATATCATTGGGTCTCAATCATGAATATCTTCATAAAAAATGTTCGTAACTTCCACTTTAAGAAGATGTTGAGAGAACTCTGTGCCTGTCAGATTCACAAAGCGTTCTTAAGCTCGCAAATTCTGTCTCATGTGACAGTTGCACCTTATTCACCAGTATCCAGCTACAAACACCTCCTTGCTCATTTACGTTACATTTACATAGAAAATCAATATGCATTTGGTTAGAAATGCCCTCTGAACTTCCGAATAAAGCGTGAAAGCACGAGGGAGAGAGTGAGCGAGGTCAAGTGGCATGTGTCTACAGACTATGGCTGATGTTTTACAGCTTCAGTTCTGATTTCAAATGTCCAGTCTCACATGAACATACTCAGGAGGAAATATTTAAGTGATAAACTTATTGAAATAAGCGGGCACTTTTGTTGTATTTATCACGCTTTCTGTTCAACATTTTGTTCTTACGAGTGCTCCTGACTGTTTGTAGGATTTGTTCTTCCAGAAGAACCTTTAGTTTGTTTGTTTACTTTATTTATTGAGACAGGGACAGTGCACAATCTACATTAACCTTAACAGGAGAGATGCATTGTACCAGGTTGTAGCACCAGTGCTAATTTCCACCTGTAGTCCCTGGGCAGGTTCATTGATTAATTGATTTTTCAGATACGAACAAGTTTTGTGCATGACAAAAATGTTCGTAAGAAGGCTTTGAGTACAAATTTATTTGTAAGAACTTTTCATGAATGAGGCCCATTGTGTTTTTGGGCAAAACACTTAGCTCACAGTGTCTGTGTACACTGGTGTATGAGTGTGGGATTGAATGGGTAAGTGGTTCCTTGATTTAAAGTGCTTGAGATGGAAAAGCACTATGTAAAAATGTGATTAAATGTGACCAGTGGCAAAAAGACTGACTGATTCTGAAATGTCTTATAGCAAAGGAAAGATCATGTCAGTTGTTGTTAGATAACTTCTTATTAACTGCACCCTTGATCTTGAAGTATTATTGAAAACTATTGTTATATAAGTATTAAAAGGCATTTAATATTCCTCTATCTCTTATAAATATTATTGGTTTATAAAATGCTGTGATCATCTGAAAACCAGCAATACATACAGTGTGTAGTCGAGGGAAAGTATGCATTGGATAACCCTCCCGTTAATGGGTACAGACCCACAGCAACAGTCTTAACCCAGTTTGCCTTAAGCTTAAGTGTAGCCAGTTACAAACATAGATTTACCAAATAATCAATTTCTCTAAATTAGAGTTGGGCAATATATCAGGTCCTGTATTGGTGTCAGTCTATATACAATTCTAATATTTTTCCAGAGCTGACCCATTCTCTTTGTGTCCATGTGTCATTCCCAGTTTGTCCGCAGTGCATCAGATTAGTCTTTTTGAATTGACTCATGAGTAAAAATGGAAATAGAAGAGCGTTATATGTTTACACAAACATGTAACAGATTATTTTATGTATTTATTATTTATTTTTAAATACATTTAGTTATTATTTTTTACAAAAGTGAAAAGTTCATTTGTAAATTTGCAGCTTTCCCAGGTCAGCTGAGAGACATAGTCCCTCCAGCGTGTCTTGGGTCTCACTCGGGGCTTCCTCCTGGTGTGACATGCCCGAAACACCTCCCGAGGAAGGTGCCCAGGAGGCATCCAGAACAGAGGCCCGAGCCACCTCAGCTGACTCCTCCAGCCAGCCAGGAGCC